AATGAGTCACTTGTGAGTTCGATTCCGGTCAAGGGCACGTACCTTGGTTGCAATTCATCCCCGGCCCTGGTTGGGGTTGTTTGGGAGGCAACCAGTCGATGTGTCCCTTTCACATCGATGTTTCTCTCTTTCTCTCTCTCTCTCTCTGTTCCTCTCTCTCCCTCCCACTCTTTCTGAACAAAAATGCAAAAATGTCCTTGGGTGAGGATTAAAAAAGTAATAATTTAAAAAGTCCTTTTCAGTGTATATGTAAATTCAGCCTTTTATCATATGGGTATGTTTCTTCAACACCAGCTTTGAAAATAAGCCATTTAAAGAGAGAGCAATTTTTGTTCTAAAAGTTTCATTCAACTTTAAGTTGAACACACATGAGCGCTGGCTGGTTTGGCTCAGCGGTTAGAGCGTTGGCCTGCGGTCCAGAGAGACCCGGGTTCGGTTCCCGCTAAGGGCATGTACCTCGGTTGCAGTTTGTCCCCGGCCCTGGTTGGGTCGTGCAGGTGGCAACTACTCGATGTGTCCCTCTCACGCTGATGTCTCTCTCTCTCTCTCTTCCTCTCTCTCCCTCCTACTCTATCTGAACAAAAAATGGAAGAATGTCCTCGGGTGAGGATAAAAAATTTTTTTTTAAGTTGAATACACATGAAATATGCTCTCAATGTGTATAACAGAAAAGGACTGGGGGGGCAATTAAGGAGAATGTGGTACAATTCACATTGTGATTATTTTGTGCTTGATGGAAGACAATTCACACTTCTAAAATCTGAAGTTCTGAAGACTTTCCTCCTTGAAGAACCAAAAAATAAAATCAAGACACCTTGCTGACACCCCACCGCCCCTAAGCTAACTACTCTTTTCACCTACAACTAAGTCAGTTACGGCAGCAAAAGATTTTCATAGCAATGACAGTTTGTAAACTATATCTCCGTAATCCTTCCTTTTGTTTGCCAAAGGCCATTTTGGAGACGTCTATTCTGGATACTGACGTACAGTGAGACCTCCCAGCCTGCAAAGCTCACACCTCCGTGAATGGTGGTGTTCGGTTTGGTAAATTGCAGATCCAGGCCACCGAGACCTTGAATAACAAAAAGCTTCATTTTTAGAGTCCCTGGTTGAATGTTTAATTAGATCAGTGAATTTTCCACCCACATCTGTTTGTTCAGAAAAGTGAAACCTACCAGTTGAGTGCTCAATTCTAGTGTGAAGGTTTTTACCGTGGGAACGAAAACTCCAGCTTAAAAGATAAAGGTCACTAGCCCAGCTAGTGTGGCTCAGTGGTGGAGCGTCGACCTCTGTGCTAGAGGTTGCTGGTTCGCTTCCCGGTCAGGGCACATGCCTGGGTTGTGGGCCAAATCCCCAGTGGGGCGCATGCAGGAGGCGGCCAATCAATGTTCTCTGTCATCGAGGTTTCTATCTCTCCCTGTGTCTCTAAAATCAATAAAGAAAAAAAAAAAAGATAAAGGGCATTAGAACTATCCCAAACAAGAAAAGAACCATCTGGTCCGCTTACCAGCTACCCTTCCGTCTCAAGCATGTGACTGGTGCCCAGTACCATCCTTACTTCGCAGGTTTCCGCAGCTTCCCTGTCAGGCGTCTCAAACCCAAGACCACTGCTTTCCACCGAGTCCTGAACTCGGACAACCCCAGGAAGCAAAGCCAGGATCAAAGTCAGGAGCCATTCAGTGACTCACAGAGGTCTCTGGGGCAACCACTAGGTCTTGGTCTACCAGATTACGGTTAGGGAGAAGGAGTTCTGTCCAACCTGAGAAGGAGCTGCAGAAACTCCACGGGAGCAGCTGGCCAGAAAGAGCCGGATGATCCTTCCAGAGGACACATGTCCTCACCCCGGGCACAGAACACCAAAGGCAGCCTTGAGGTGCAGTTTAGGAACTCCAGCGTTCTTCACTGCGGGGGGATCCAAGGCTCCTTCCTGGGGTCTCCACTCCTTCAGGAAGGATTCTGTTCTGGGCCCGTGGGCACGCTGTTTCGGGCTGAAGGCGGTGACCACCTTTCCGGACATCATCCGGTGTTGGACTTGGATGGGCAGAATGAAGCAAGGCTTTGACCCTCACATCCTCCAGTTGGATACCCGCCTCCTCAGTTTATAGGTCAAGAGGCCAAGGGGTAGGGCATGGTGACGACTGGATGGAAGTGAACCCCACTGAGCTCTGAGCTCTCACATCTTGAAAGACTATTGGTGCCTGAGAGGAAAGCGATCCCCAGCTGGCAGGGCTCCAGAGGGTACCCTCCCCTTGCCTTTCTGCTTTTGTTCTGCAGAAAGCCGCCTTTTAAAGACACCCCTTCGGCCCTGGCCGGTTTGGCTCAGCGGCTGGAGCATCAGCCTGCGGACCAGGCAGTCCCGGGTTCGGTTCCCACTAGGGGAACGTATCAAAAAAAAAAAGAACAAAAAAATTAAGACACCCGTTTGGCTTTCATTCTCCGATCTTCTTCGCCACCTTTGCCATCAGCACTGGGGATGGCGCAGCCGGCCCTATCTTCAACGTAGCAGCTACCAAATAAGGAATCCTTTGCCCCCCCAGTTCACGGGCCAGTGAGGGTTGTATTACCACCGTGAGAGCCGTTGCTTCTCGACCTTTATTGCGGCTCAAAGATTTCTGGAAGGTTCGAAGACTCCTTTTCTTCGTTAAGCCTAGTTGCCCACTCGGGAGGCATGAATGTGTCTGGAATATTGTCCGCAAATATCTGGAGAGACAGCGGCGCTCCGTGCACATACTTGCCCAGCTTCACTGAACCCTCGGAGCCATTTTCCGGCGGTGGCGGTGGCGGTGGCAGCGGCGACAGCGGCCACAGCGCGTCCTGCTCGCTCTCCGTGGGCCCGACTGCCGCGCAACGTGGGCCGCTTGGAGCTGTTCCGTTTGCAGTCACTTGTTACATGGTGACAAAGTGGAGACACCGCTGGTGGTGGTATTGCGGTGGCAAACTTTGGGACGGGGCTGAAGGAGCGGCTGACGCATTTCAGATGGTTCTGAATTTAGAATTGCTGCACGTAAGAGGGAGGCGGGGTGGGGGACAATGGGCGTTAAAGAGAACACACCCAAGCATCTCCGTCAGTGTTCGGGTCAGGCCTTGGTCCTTGTCCTCCAGCCTGAAGGGCTCTTCCCTCCCCAGGTATTAATGGACAGTAATGTATTTTATCACCTCAATGACACCAGTCTGTTTTAAACTCTAGTGGCTGTGTGTACCTAACTGGGCTTTGAGTTCCTTGAGGACAAATGTCCCCTGCACATACAGGTGTAGATGTTACCTGATTGGCCCGAGGTGTATCTGTCCTATCAGTAAGTCCTTCAAACTAAACGCTCCAGGTGCTATTCCTGGAATGAAAGGGGGGGGGGTGGTTCTGGAGACTCCAACAGGGGCTTTTCCTTATGAAACCACCGTGAGTTCCTCATCCGGCAGCAAAACCTGTCATGACATTCCCTGACCCTTCTCTCAGAATATGTACCACAGGAATGGATGGCCAGTGCCCGACTGGGAACATGGCCTGGTGCTTAACAACAGTTTAACTTAATTAGGTAGCGCCCACTAATCAGTACGGCCTAAACATCTGCCAGTGGAATCGGAGAAGTCTGTTCTCAAAGAGAACCTGGGTTTATTCACCACAGATGGGGCGCTTGTGCGAGGGGGTGGGGCGGGGCGGAAATGCTTTACCAGTTAAATAAAATTAAAAGAAGAGGTTGGTGCCCAATCTGGAGAGTTTGGGTATGTATGTGATGGAAAAAAAATAGCAGTAATAGGAATGTTCTCTGTGCTCGTATCCATAGTTAACAGTTTGTGAATTGTTTCAAAGGAATTGAAGCAGAACTTAAGGACTTAGGTGTTTTTTAATGTGGTCACATGGCTACGTAGTACCAACGTTTTGAATAAAAGGCACGGACAGGTTACCTAGATCAAGGACTTTTTGAAATAAAAAGGCTCTAAGAGAGCCAACTTGTTGCCTCCCGTGGTTTGTAATAATTTCTTGCTGGAACAAGAGATGATGTATAAACAGTAATGTGACAAAATGTCTGCACAGTAGACTTGAAACTACACGAGGATCCTAAGAGCTAATTTGTTCAAGGAAGTGGAGGCAATTCGATTCAACCTAGAGGCGTGGTTTGGGCAGACCGCAAGTGAATTCAGTTATCACTGTTGCACTGCCTGGAGCTAAAAGAAATCACCGATTGGGACAATTTGCAAAGCGATTAGATGGAAGTGAAGTCACAACTCAGAAAAAAAAAAAAAAAAGTCAGGGGTTTTGACGAATGTGAATCACCCTTAACATTTTTATGGCTGCCTTTGGAGTGCAAATTCTCAGCCTGCCCGGGAGTTAGGAAGCTTTTGCCTTCGTCCTGTGGGCAGAACGATCTGAACACAACGATTTTGAAGTTTCGGGCTGAATGGCCAAAACCTGAGCTCTGGGGTTCGTCTGGCCCTGTGAAAGGACCAGTGTTTTGAATGCAAGTCCTTAAATCAATGGCTGAAGTCAGAATTAAGCCGTGTGCCAATGGGAACCTTTCCCCCCATCATTTCCCACAGCTCAGTCTTTGAGATGTAACCATGTTATTTACATGGACTCGCCCAGAACCGGCCCCCCGGGCTGCAACGGCGCGTGCTCGTGGGCACCGACTTGACCCAACTTTCGTGGCCGCCTTCGGCGTTTCCGTCGCTGTCTGCGCGGCCGCCCAGGTGATCGCCTGGACCCCTCCGGCCGAAATGTATCGGTCACGTGTGGGAATTTCTTTTTCGCCTTCCGCCTCCCCGATAAAAACACAAACAAAACCGAACCCCTCGGCCACTCGGGCCCTGGCCGCTGCCCTCGCCCCGAGCCGGGTGGACAGGGTCGTTTCCTCGCGCCCTCCACGCAGCCCTGTTTGTCGCAATGGGCCCCGCGCGGAAGGTTACGCGCGCTGACAGTCGCCCTGGGGGTGCGCCGTGCCCGCTGCTTCCGCGGGCACTTGATTGTAACAGAAAGTAGTTCCGGCCCGTGTTGTTTCGGTAGAGGAGTCGTCGCCGCCATTTCAAGACCGTGAGAGTCGATGGCCAACCAGAGCCCCTAAGGTTGGAAGCCTGTACGTGCTGCCGCCGCCCCAGCCCGCCCAGGCCCTGGTCCGGCCGCTGCCCTCGCAGTCCTACCTCTCGAAACGTCTTGCGAGTCTTGGTGGCGCAGCGGGACCCCCTCACCCGCTCCTCGCTCTCCCTCCAGAAGCTCCAGATGGCGTCTTCCGTGGGCAACGTGGCCGACAGCACAGGTACCGGTGTCCCTTCCACCTTGGCAGACGCCCCTTTGGGGTCTCGCGCCGTCCTCGGCCTCTCATTGTCCCCTACCTTCCCTCTAGCCATCCCCATGACATCAGTGGCATTGGCTGAGCTTCCCGTCGTCTACCGGCATCCGATCGGGTTTTCCGCTGTCGCCTGCTCCGCACACGTTTCCTCTGGCTCCCCGGCTCTTTGCTGCCTTTCTTGGTTTTTCAGTCTCACAGTTGCCCTAGCTGCCCGCTGTGTCGGGACGCCCCTGTCACCTGTGCACGCTTAGAATGTCTCGGGATGGAATGCGTGGGGCTCCCTGTCGCTTCCCTGTCCGCTCCCGTTTTCTTCCCCAGCCCCGCTCACCGGCCCTGCGCGTCCCCGTCCCCCTCCAGCCCCTCCTGCGCCTTCTCCGGAGCCCGATTTGGAGCCCTGTCGATCTAGGGCGGGGGTGCCATTCCGATGTCATCATAGCCTCACTTTGCATCACCCAGGGATGAGCAAAAGCTCCTCGGTGTGCTCGCGGTCAGCCTCCAGGAGGGGGACCCGGAGCGGCACCCCGCTGGGCAGCGCCGGGCTGGGCTCCCTCGCTTGAGCGGCCCCCGTTTCGATTGGAAATTTCCAGGGGCTCCTCTGCCAGCGGCCCGTTCCCCCAGCCGCTCCGGCCTGGGTTTCCCACCGGCCCGCCCTCCCCTCCCGCGGGGAACCACACCCTTTCCTTCGGGAGGTTGCCAGCCCTCGGCCACTTCCTACCCTTGGGGTGAAACCACCCCGGTGCTGGTGCTTTGGTGTCGGCCACCCCGCGGGCCGGATTCTCGCTTTGTGTGACTTTCTCCTTGTATTCCTCCGCCGCCGCCTCTGGATCTTCCATCCCCATTCTTAAGCCCGGGATCTCTTTATTCATAGGGTGTGTATTTTTTTTTTTTTTTTAAGTTTCCATTCCTGCTTGAAGAGTTTGTAAAGCAACTGGAGTGTTGGCCGCACAAGCGCAAGGCGGTTGCCCTTTCAGACAATTCAGTCGAGAACATTTGGTCCTAAAAATAAGAAAACAACCAAATTATAGGAGTGTCCTTCAGCTGCCTTTCCCTATTGAGGCTGTTTGGGGCGGGCGGGGGCGAGGGATTGGGCCGCAGTTCTAAGGTTTCCCATGAGGTTCTTTTTTGCTGCTGCTGTTTCTCCATTGAGATCTGTTCAGGGTTTTTCTATTCATTGTTTTTGGACATTGCGCAGGAAGGAGTAGGTGAACCTTCAGTCGTATTTTATCCGTGATTATAGGTAGTGGGATTAATCATCAGTGTTCCCCTCCCTCCCGGGGATTTTTTTTTTTTTAAAAGATTTAAGATTTGTTCTAGCTTGCCCTTTCTAACGTGTGTTATTTTACTTGAGGGAGTTGTCATTTCAAGTGTCAGATAAGGGGCTTTGAAAAGTTGACAGTGGAACGTGCTAAAATCCAGGAGCTAAGAAGTTCTAGAGGCTTGTCTAAAACGTAATTTTCCAGTTTCTGCTGGAGGTACTGTATAACCTCCAGATTTGGATGCAAGTCTTTCTGCTCTTGTGTCACCGGTCAGCTGCTGTTCAGTTCAGGAAATTGACTTTGTTTTCCTGAGCATACAGATCACTTGCCAGCTCTCATGATTGGGGAGCTTGGCTCAAATTTGAGCTGGTCACTGTGACCTTGGTACAATTTAAGTAATTTGTACGTGGTTTCCCCTTGTAACCATTTAGTGAAAATCCAGCAATGTGTCATTGCTGAAGTTAAAGTATTAAGTTGAGACTTAGGTGGGTTTTTTTTTTTGTTTTTTTTTTTACCCAGCTGTGGGCTTTAACTGTACCCTTTATCTTGATGTATCTGAGCTAAGTCACTTAGACACAGCAAAGTGCTTTCATTTATTATTCATTCTGTTGCACTTTATCAAATGGTTTTATATTTTGTTTCCCCATTATTTTAAACAATCATTGCAGTCGTAGGTAACTGCTTGATTATGTACGGTTGTTTGCAATGTCTTAATCCTTCAGTATCAGAGCTCAGTGGAAAATGCCAGTGTTGTTAAACCAGCGTGGGTGGGATTCGGCTAGTTTGGTTTCATTGTGAGTTTGGGATGGTAGAAGAGCAATATAATCTTGGGTCTTTACTTAAAATGTTTGATGACCCTTTAAATATTTTGGCTCTTGACAGATGAATTCATCTTGTTTATTAGCTGTTGTAAAAATAGCACCTTGACTTTTAGTTTTTTTCCCTTATGCTTGTTTCTGGTATTGCCCTTAATGGAAACAAATTCAGTTGTGGAGTATACAGAAACATAGCACAATTTTGAGTTGAAAATACATCTTGTGTCCCCACCCATGTTAAGAAATAGATTGTTAATGCTACCCCCCCTCCCAAATCCAACGTAAAACATGGCACAAAGTATTGTTTCCCAGTAGATTATTCTGACATGATTAAACCTTTGGGACCTTGCAAATCATGTTTTATATTTTGTTTCTGTATGTTAAGTATACAGAATTACTGTCCAGTGAATCTTTAGGTACTACCTCTGCTTTGTAACTGAAAAGTACAAAATATTTGTAGTTAAAGTGACTGTAATCTTACTTGGAAGTAAATATTTCTGTCTAGTCTGGGAACTAAAGTTAATGGATCAATTCTGCACCTGATGTTAACTCGGGGGTCTCAGTGATGTGCAGAACACTCTAGTGCTTTACATAGTTTCAAGCGTTTTCATCTTTAAGTTTAATAGACCATATTTTTTCATTTTTTTGTTTGCATTTCTAACTTTTTGTTTTCCCCCCTCCTTCCCTCAAATGTTTTGATGATTCTCCAGAACCAACGAAACGTATGCTTTCCTTCCAAGGGTTAGCTGAGTTGGCACATCGGGAATATCAGGCAGGAGATTTTGAGGCAGCCGAGAGGCACTGCATGCAGCTCTGGAGACAAGAGCCGGACAATACCGGTGTGCTTTTATTACTTTCGTCTATACACTTCCAGTGTCGCAGGCTGGACAGGTAGGAGATGGGGGGGTCCTTCTGCTGATTGCTGCCTCCGCGTGCTGAGCTTGCAAAATGATGTTGAATGTGTGAACTTGAAATGTTTCCAATCCTGGCTTTCCACTGAGCCACCAGTGCACATCTGCTCCCTTGTCCACTTGTGACGTGTCCAGCTGCCAGTTCCTCTCCGTCCTCTTGTGGCAGTGGTGATGTGAGCAGTATGACCAGAGACCTTGTCTAGATTTTCCCACCTAGGTCTGCTGCTCTCTTAACCCTGTCCAGGTAATAAGTATTCTTAGTGTACATCTGACCAGCCAGTCTCACCTTTGTAAGATGTGACATCTTGAGGGCCAGAGTACCTCAGAGATGGTGGTGTATATGCTGTGGTAGGAGGTGCGGGTGTGATTCTAGTTGCAACGACTGTCATTAAGTTATAATATGCTTCCACTTTAGCTAGTCAGCTGAAGTCATCAAAAGGAAAGAATCTGCATTCTTGTTGTTGCTGTTAATCCTCACCTGAGGATATTTTTCAGTTGTTTTTTTTTTTTTTTTTTTTGGATAGAGTGGGAGGGAGAGAGGGAGAGAAGAACATCGATGTGAGAGAGACACATTGATTAGTTGCCTCCTGCACAACCCCGACTGGGGCCAGGGAGCGAACCTGCAACCCAGGTAGGTGTCCCAGACTGGAATCGAACCTGCGACCCTTCGGTTCGAGAGCTGACGCTCTAACCACTGAGCAGCGCTGGCCAGGGCAGCAACTGTGTTCTTATTCTCTGAAGGACTTGTCATTCTGACAGTTTATTTAAACATTTAAAGATATGCGACATTAAGTCTCATCCACAAATGGAAAGTGAGACTCCTGCACGCAGCCTTTTCATTGACCTTAATCATGGCCCACAACGTGGCAGTTGGGTAATGAGACTCGGGAAGAATTTTATCTCATAAGGGAAAACAGCATTCCGGTTTGAGAGCTGGACTACCTGTACTTTTGGGCAACTTGGATTTCCAAAATTTGTCCTGTGCACCAGTTAAAAGATACTGTTGTTGTTACATGATCAGCCATAGCACAGGGTCTTCAGAAACTGTTTTGCGTTGCGTATGGGCCGTACCTTCTGTCTAACAGCACACCCCTGCGTCAACACTTCTCGCCTTTTCCAGATCTGCTCACTTTAGCACTCTGGCAATTAAACAGAACCCCCTTCTGGCAGAAGCCTATTCAAACCTGGGCAACGTGTACAAGGAAAGAGGACAGTTGCAGGAAGCGATTGAGCATTACCGGCATGCATTGCGTCTCAAGCCAGATTTCATCGATGGTTACATTAACCTGGCAGCCGCATTGGTGGCAGCAGGTGACATGGAAGGGGCAGTCCAAGCTTACGTCTCTGCTCTTCAGTACAATCCTGTGAGTACACTTTTAATGGTTATGTTCCCTTCACCAAAGCCCCAAAAGAAACATGGTTTGATACTTCAGACCCTGAAATAGATTTCTGCATGGAATCAGGTGAAGCGCCTAGAAGTGTTTGTCTGCTTACAATGATGAAATTGCTTTGACCAGGTCTGCAGGAGCGTGGTTTTTAAAGTTTGTTTTATCTCGAAAGTTATATTAAGAGGCATGAAATTGTCCTTATTGCCTGAAACGATGTCTGTTTTTTTTTTTTTTTTTTTTTTTTTTTTTATCCTCACCCGAGGATATTTTTCCATTTTTGTACAGATAGAGTGGGAGGGAGAGAGAGGAAGGGAGAGAGAGAGAGAAACATCGACGTGAAGGGACACATCGAGTGGCTGCCACCCGCACGACCAACCAGGGCCGGGGACAAACTGCAACCGAAGTACATGCCCTTAGCGGGAACAGAACCCGGGTCTCTCCGGACCGCAGGCTGACGCTCTAACCGCTGAGCCAAACTGGCCAGGGCACGATGTCTGTTTTTATAATGCCTGTAACAGTACAGAACATGTGACATTGGTTTTTGGGCTGTTTTGATTAAATTTGGATACACTGCTAGGTGTTTGCAACCAACAGGTCATTGGTTTTCAGGGACTAGTGGATGAAGGGCCTTAATCTGGACTATAAAATAGGTACAACAGGAGGCCAACATACTGATCAGTGACACGAGAACTAGGCTGTAAAATTCGTTCCTCAATATCGTATTCTCTTTTCTTTCAACATAATTTGAAGTGGTTGAGTCAAAGTGATAGTATCCACCCCAGGCTTTGGAATAGTCCTTAATTTTTTTCTGGTCAAAATTGCAGATGTTTTCTGGGGACCAGGTGAGACCCAGCTGGCAGACATTAAATTCACATCATGTTAGGGACTCTTTTGAAAGATACACAGGAGTGAGACTCGCCCTCTGAACTTTTGAGGGAGCTAGGGGTAGACGATAGAAACTGAAGAGGTACGTGGTAAAGAGAGGGGTGGAAGGAATCCCGAAACATTTAAGAATGCATTTCCAAGCTACGTTGTCAACGCGTAGCTTTGCAGCAACCCTGGAAGCGGGTTATAATGAACGATTACAACTGTCATTCATTGCGGGTCTTCTCTGCTCAAGACACTGCCAGTGTGTCAGACGTCAGGCGTGGGTCTCAGTGCTCACAATGAGCGTTCAGAATAGGTGGGATTATTTTCAGTTTTACCAATAAAAAGAAATCAGACTCGGACTATGTAATTTTGTGGGGAGCACATAGCTAGGAATGGTGAAGAGGATATTAAAACCTGAGCCTGAAGATCTTGAAAGCAAACATTCAAGAGAGAAGAAATGAAAGGGAAAGGGGACGATGTGCCCAGAGGGCACGCACCCCTCAAGGCTCAGTGTTTGTTTGTTTGTTTGTTTGTTTGTTTTTTATCCTCACCCGAGGACATTTTTGCATTCATCTTCAGATAGAGTGGGACGGGGAGAGGGAGGAAGAGAGACATCGAAGCGAGAGAGACACAGTGACTGGTTGCCACCCAGGGCCGAACCGCAACCAAGGTCTGTGCCCCTCACGGGAACCGAACCCAGGACTCTGATCTGCGGGCCGACGCTCTAACCGCTGAGCCAAACCGGCCAGGGCCCACGTGAGCAGTTTGAAAACCGTTGATTATGTCCTGCTCCCCCTTCATCCCTGTTCTACAGGTTAGAAAAGTGAAGCTTGATTTAGTAGTTTGCACAAAGATCTGAACTCACTTTTTTTCTCATGACATCTATTAACAGTTGTTTTTTCAGTTAATCTTGAGAGTGTAAAATTCAAATTTTTTCAATTCCTTGCTTTATGTGTGGATACAGTGAGAAGTCTCCCAGCCTACCCTTGGAGGTGGCCAACGAAACCAAATTTTCATGTATTCTTTCAGAGATACTCCATGCATATATCGGTAAATTTGAGTGCGTTTTGTACATTTTTAAAACGGACAATTCACATTTTCTTTGTATCTGCCTTTGACATGTACAAAAACTCTCAGCCCCTCCCCCCCAAACTTGGTGGTTTTTATTGCAGTACTGCCCAGCTGGTTACCCACAAGAAGTTTGAGAGAACCCCGTCGTGTGGGCTTAGGCCCTTTCTTGCTGGAGCTGGGGGCTCACTAGTGCACCTGGCTGTCACGGTCCAGTTCTTTCCCTTTATTAATCAGGGCTGGTTTCACCCTTCACTTGTTTATTGAGTATAAGCTCACTCGTGCCCTCGTACAGGGCTGTGGCTCCCAACATCTTGAACTTTGATCCCCTCGGCTTGGATTTCCAGTTACCAGTCGCTGCTCACAGTATACCAGACTGGAGGGCGGGGAGGAGGGCGGGCTGAAGTGGGAGACAGAGCCAGGCTTCCCAGTCTGTGACCTGTTAGCAGGCAGCTTATCCCTGGGCCCTCCCAGAGGCGGAAGGTAGTCCCGACCCCCTGGGCCAGGCAGCGACTCCCCCTGGGCCAGGCAGCGTGCAGCGCCTGCCCATCTGGTTCTGTTTCTCCTCGCGGAAAGTGCTCCTGTCTTCCTCTGTCTTCACCAGTGAGAATGGAAAAGGAATTGTGCCAGCTGCCTTGATTTCACCGAAATATACCGCGGTGATCATGTTTTAGTGTATTTCAAGATACCAAGTCTTAACTAGACTTACCACCAAATGCCTTTGTCAGTTCAGCCCTGACAGAAGCGGGAGCCTGTTGCTGACTTGTGCCCTTGCCGGCAGTGTGTCGTTGGCCTGGACCCTAGATGGGCCTGGCACCCTCTGAAAAGTATCTGACGAAACTCAGGTTGTTCGGTGTTGCAGCTGTGAGAAAGGAAGATGCTAAGGCAGTGCTCTTGGTAACCTGTTCTCAGCACTGTTTACCTTTTTAAGTGAATGGTATGTCCATTCAGAAGTTAGTCTGTGATTTGGTTATGGAAATTACTTTTAAGACAGCTGTTTCATGCTTTTACATTCCGAATTGTCTCTTGTAATGCTGGCCAATTTAATAATTTCATTCTCCTTTTAGTCGACTGTATTTGAAGGTGCTATTGTAGCTGGTGATTTTTCACACGATTAGAGCTGCCTATACCTGGCCATCCCTCTTAGGAATCATGTATGAAATTGTCCTTTGTAACGTGGCTATCTGTAGTCCCGAGTCGCTCTAAGGAGCTCTTGTTGAACCCTTGTTTCTTTTTTTTTATTTTTTATCCTCACTCAAAGATATTTTTCCACTCCTTGTTCAGATAGAGTGGGAGGGAGAGAGAGGAAGAGAGAGAGAAAGAAACATCTATGTGAAAGGGACACATTGAGTGGCTGCCACCCGCACGACCCAACCAGGGCTGGGGACAAACTGCAACCGAGGCACACGCCCTTAGCGGGAACCGAACCCGGGTCTCTCTGAACCACAGGCCGACGCTCCAACCGCTGAGCCACACTGGCCAGGGCATGAACCCTTGTTTCTGATTTGCTTGTAAATGCACAGCACTGAGAGCTATGGCATCCTGACCAGCACGTGTTACTAGCACGGTAATTGTTCCTGTCGTGTTCATTGTTACTGTCGCTAGCTATACTGTAGGAAACTATTTCGATTCCTCTCTGCTCTGCTGTTTAAATTTGCCACGCCAGCGTCACATTTAACAGCAGTGTGGTGGTTGCCGGAGGGAAGGGGCTGGGGGCCTAGGATATGGTGATGGAAGATGATTTGACTTTGGTGGTGGGCACGCAGTACAATATACAGGTGTTGTAGCATAGAAATCCACACCTGAAACATATATGAGCCTATTAATCAGTGTCACCCCAATACATTTAATAAATAAATATTTGCTTATTGTGTGAACAATGCTTTGTTAGAAATTGGGGAGCTGTGTTGGGGGGAAAATGAGACAGGATCTGGCCCGAGAGAAATGAAAGGTGAAAACTCCTTGGGTGATCATCGTTAGAGAGTATTAATGAGAAGATTTTCTGGAGTGGGTGCTTGGAACCGAAGCGTTCTGTAGGAAGGTAAACAGCATGTCGACTTCCTTGGCTGAAGTGCTGAGTCAAATAGTGACAAGAAGCAGTGGGGTAGAGCATCCACTGGAAGATTCCCAAAGAGTAGAGAGGCTGAGGAGTTGAAATTGAATTTGAGAGAAAGTGCAGGGAATAGATGTTATCTCAGGAGGGGTGGATATGCAGGGAATTCTAATTCTTACTAATTTCCAGCTTCTTACTTTGATTAATATGACTTTCCCTTGTCTACAGTGCCCTCCTCCTTTGTCCATTAAAGTCCTACTCATGCTTTAAGGCCCAGCTTAAAACTGTTTATTTTTGGTAGTTTTTTAAAAAATATGTTCTTTTAACATTGATTTTATTATTTATTTATTTGTTTGTTTTTAACATTGATTTTAGAGAGAGAGGAAAGAAGAGGTAGAGAGGTAAAACATCATTGATCGGCTGCCCCTTGCACAACCCCACTGGGGATTGAGCCTGAAACCTGGGCATGTGCCGTGACTGGGAATCCAGCCGGTGACCTCTTGGTGCATGGGATGACGCTCAGTCCACTGAGCCACATTGGCCGGGTTTAAATTTCTTATTTGAGTTCATTTACTTCTGTAAAATTCTTCACTGCCGTGTGGGCGTTTAATATATGCGAGGCTCGTTTTTCCACGTAGATTGCAGTCCCCTCCAGGGGAAGGGTTCTATTAATTTCTTCTCCCTGCAGTTCCAGAAACATTAGTGGATTGCATGAAGGTTTGCATGAAAGGTATTAACCTGGGAATGGATAGAACTGGCTAGGCTTGAGAAATGTTCTCTTAGCAGATACTGTTTTGACTTGATAAATGAAGCAGAATTGATGTCTTAGGTTTTGAGCTTTTCTTATTTTGTTAATCCTCACCTGAGGATATTTTCTTTCCATTGATTTTTTTTTCTTTTTTTCATCCTCACCTGAGGACATTTTTCCATTCTTTGTTTAGATAGAGTGGGAGGGAGAGAGGAGAGAGAGAGAGAGAGAGAGAGAGAGAGAGAGAGAGAGAGAGAGAAACATTGATGTGAAAGGGACACATCGAGTGGTTGCCACCCGCATGACCCAACCAGGGCCGGGGACAAACTGCAACCGAGGTACATGCCCTTAGTGGGAACCGAACCCGTGTGTCTCTGGACCACAGGCTGACACTCTAACCGCTGAGCCAAACCGGCCAGGGCCTGTTTTTTTTTTTTTTTAGAGTGGAAGGGGGAGGAGGAGGAGGAGGGATAGAGACAGAAAACATCCATTGGTTGCCTCCCGCACCAGTTGACTGGGGCTGGGGATCGAACCTGCAACCCAGGTACATGCCCTTGACTGGGAATCGAACCTGCAACCCATTGGTGCATGGGCCGACGCTCTAACCACTGTGCAACGCTGGCCAGGGCTTATGTTTAGAACTTTTGGGAGACTAGTGGTATCCTTGGCTTTTCTAGAAATGAACTATTCATGCATAGGTTTGGGTCCTCAAGTGAGAATCAGATTTCAGTTACATTTAAGGCGATGTGTTCTACCTTTTTCTAAAACTGTCTTACTGTTTTGTTGTTGTTAATCATCACCCAAGGATATTTTTTTCCATTAATTTTTAAAGAGAGTGGAAGGGAGGAAGGAAGGGGAAGAGAGAAAGAGAGAGAGAGAGAGAGAGACATCAGTGTGAGAGACACATCAATTGGTTGTCTCTCGCACGCGCCCTGACCGGTGCTGGGGATCGAACCTGAGACCCTTTAGTGTGGGGGCCGACACTCTAACCGCTGACCCACACTGGCCAGGTTGCCTTATTATCTTATAGTGATCTTGAAGATAATCTATTTTTAACTATGGTCCTTGTGTTAACTTGATTTAGTATGCTGTAATGGACCTAGATGATATAATTAAATATAGATACACTGTCAAGACTTGGATGGCAGTTATCCATGAGTTTATAGAAACTAGAGGGTAAAATTATGCAGCAGTTGGCTAGGCTGTACAGCCCATTAGGGTCATCGTTACAGAATTATTGCAAGACTTCTGATTATTATGGATTAGAAAAGACAGGAATTGGTAAAAGTTCAAAGCTGTGTATAACCACAATAATCAGGTGTAGTAGGAGCTGGTATGAACAGGTTAGATTGTTCACTCATGGTTTTAAAGTTTAGGGGGGAAATCATACAAAGTAGATAGGGAGTTAGAGAATTCATTACTTCTGAGAGTATAAATAGGGTTAAAAAGTGCTGAGTGCCATGGCCAGGCGGCTCAGTTGGTTGGAGCATCATCCTGTACACCAACAAGTTACGGGTTTGATTCCCAGTCAGAGCGCATGTGGGAGGCAACTGATTGATGTTTCTCTCTCTCTCTCTCTCTCTCTCTCTCTCTCTCTCTCTCTGTCTCCCCCTCTAAAATCAAAAACACCTTCTTGGGATGAGGATAAAAAAGTGCTTAGATTCGTTAGGGGAGGATAAGTCTGTAAAATGATCAGTGATACGTATAATGTTTTGAGAACTAGTCTCGGCCTATTGTGCTTCAGGTCACTGGAGACAACCATTCTCTCCCCAAACGCGAGTCATTGCTTGATGGACAGACAGATAGGGTAGGTCATGGGACTGACTCAGTATGTTCAGCTGTAAGGGTGTTGGGTGTTCTGTAGCAAGCGATTCTTTGCTGGCTGATGTGGTTCACCTGATGGATGATGATAATCCCAAAAGGTGTTTATCAGTTAAATGAATCACCTGATTGTAATCCACTTGCACATAGAATAGTCTATGTGACGATACTTGGGTGCAGTTGACAAAATTTCACTTTCTAGGACTTCATTTGAGGCTCTTCCACCCATGGGGCGGTTTGGAATGATAAGCCGACTGACTCCCTATTGCCATTGTCCCTGCTTGTTGACTGATAGATTTGACTGACAGAGGCAAACAAGGACATAGATGAATTTTAACTCACTGTTCTGATGGTGTGTCTTTTCATACTGGTGAATGGACTACAGTTGTGCTGCTAATAAAAAGCAGAGTCAACTGCTTTTCAATATTCACCCACTCAGCTCTGATGGCACTTAGTACTAATGAGTGATGTGGCGCCAGGTGCCAGGAGTGACACTGCAGTTGGATAGTGACCTTTGGAGCAGTGCAATGAAGTCAAGGTTTCTAAATATGCCTGGCAGCCTAGGGATAGGCTTGCTGACAGCGAATCATGGCTAAGTACTTTTTTTAAAACTCATGTCTCTTGTTGAATGTATTACAGATGTCCCCCCCTTTTTCCCCCTTGACCCCCTCCTCCCCACTTCCACCCCCTCCTGCCTCCCCCACACCACTGTCAGTGTCCACTGGTTATGCATATATGCATAGAAATGCTTTGGTTTATCTCATCCACCCTCCCTCCCTTTGAGGTTCATCAGTCTAACAACCAGTTTATACATCTTATAAATAATCTTTTTTTTTTTTTTTTATAAATACTCCTTTGACTACGGAAAATTTTTGGCCCTTGATACAGGAGTGATTCCTTATAACTGAACAAAATAGTTGAACAAACATTTGATTTTTTTTAAAAACGTGGCTGACATTTGAGGAGAGGAGAAGCTGTAATAAGGCTCGTAGTCCTTTATCTGAAACGTGGGATCAAATGCATTTCAAAGTTCAGAATTTTTAGGGTTCTAGAAAGATGATAATAGCGTATATAAAACTCCTAGGTGGGTCCGGACACCTAGTAAAGCGTATTTCTGCAGCAAAGGTGTGACTTTGTGCCAGTTCAGGTGAGGCTCGATCATCAAATGAGTTTTGGGAACTTCTTGGAATTAGCAGTTGAGGATGGGGGATTGTGGTTCTCTTCTTAACATCTGTCAAGCAGTAGCTTTAGGTGACAAGAAATTGACAGGAAGCTAGATACATAAGAGTTATTTGGAGACATTTTTGGTGGAGAAAGTATAATTAACGACGGTATCTCTGGGTTTCTAGGATTTGTACTGTGTTCGCAGTGACCTGGGGAACCTGCTTAAAGCCCTGGGTCGCTTGGAAGAAGCCAAGGTAGGTGTTTGATAGAACACATTTAAACATCAGTGTTATGAAAACCTGTACCTTTTGCCAAGTCTTCAACTCTTCATTGAGCTGTCTTCACAAAACAGTCCTAAGAAACTGGAAAACTGACGGCACGAATCGCCTCAGACTAGAGCAGGGCCAGGCTTTGGCACATCTGTTCTAAATCTGGGGGTAAAGCAAGAACCTGAACATCTTGGAGCCTTTCTGCTGAGCTAGATCATCTTTATAACATTGGGCTCCGACATGCTCTTTTGTGGGAATAAATAACATTCCTTCAAATCTGAGGCTTGCCTGCTGGTGACAAGCAGAGCGCCTGTGATTTGGCTCAAGACTCCTTATGATGCAGGTGCCATTGAAAGTGCTGCTCTTCTAAGTCCTTTGTGGCTTGTAAGTGGAGAAGAACTTCATCCAAATGTTACCCTGTAATACTGGCATTTAAACTCTTATTTAACCTTCCTCCCTTCATCTGCCTCACCCTTTTACAGTGGAAGAAAGGCTGTTAAAACGATTGCAAATTAATAATTGGAACATCCTGCCCCTTCCTGTCCCACTCCTTCCTCCAAGTTCCCGTTTCCTCTTTTCCAATCCTAGTCATCTACCTTCTTTTCTTCTTACTTCCTTCTTTTACTCTTCCCCACCCTGCCTCCTTAAAAAAAAAAAAAAAAAAAAAAAAAAGTCAGGACAAAGCTGGTTTGTTTGGGAAATGGACTGATCGAAAGAAAACTTGCCCAAGTGGAAAGGTGGCTTTTAGCATTCTGTTTCCAAATACTGAATTTGAACACCAGGTTGGGTTATTCAAGCATTTGGTATCGTTTTCAATTAAATTTATCAATGAAATTGTCTTGTTACAAGCCACCTTACGCAACCGCGCTGCAGGGGTGAGGAGTGGGGAGAAACCAGAATGCTTCTGAAACTCCCACCTGTTGCTCTGAGCCCCACGCGCATGCTAATGCGTGGAGTGTATGCGCAGCGTAGCTGTCTGTTTGCTTCATCCAGGGAGGGAGAAGGCTTTTTAGCACCATCTCATGTTCAAAGGCACAAGTTTTAAGTGCATAGCTCATAAATTCTGCGGACACTTTGGATTAACCTTACGTAGGTTTCCAGCTAATGAATTGTAATTGATTTCAATCACAGCTGATAAATCCAATTGGTAATTCACCGAACAAATATTGATCAGCTCCCATTAATTGTCACCCCACCAAGCGGACAGCTAACATGGATTGCACTTCACTGCGGCTTTAGAGATCGGTCTAGGCTGAGACACTGCGCCTGCCTTAGGTTGCTGACTTCTTTATTTCAGAGCTCTGGAGACACCTAGTTTGAAAAATGTCATTCTGTTTTTGTGAGAACTAGTGAACAAGAAAATCCTCTGAGTGAAATGCAATGTATTTCTTTTGTAATCAGTGCATTTGAAAATTCAAGCCAGCATATTCCCAGCAGATGGAAGCAAATTTAAGTTGTCTTTGTAGAAAATGAAGAGCCTTTCTTCCAGCCCAACTCCCTGCTGTATGCAATAGCCCTGATTAACCCTCTCCCTTCTGCATGTTTCCCATGTTACAGACTTGAGACTGTCCTCATTCCCATATGTAATAGACATCCAAAGAATTTCGATTGCTTTGTTGAACTTTTACTAATGATCTTGTTTTTATTTTCTCTCTTGTTTTTGGTTTTTCACCATTGATATTGTATTTAGAAGGTTTCAGGTGGGTGAAACCTCCTATCCCATGCGTAAGGTGCCTCGCTGAAGGGAGCTCGAGGCCTGGATCTAGGGCAGACACACACCTCCTCCTCTTCCAGCAAGGAACGCACCGAAAAGTCACATGATGAGAAATATGGTAACGGGTTTGTAACTGCCACAGCAAAACCATTTGCCTCCATGCCTGAATCTTCTGTCTTGTGGCTTCAGAAACAGCTTAAAATAATTTTATTTACAAGCAAAGTTATGTAAGAGAATGTTTTAAACTATAGCCACAATTCTGTCAAAGATAAGTAAAAGTTAATTGATATTAAAAACTATTAGATAATTTACTAGTAAAAGCTTCTAACTCTTCTCGTTGTTCATTTTTTCCTTTTTTCTTCTTTGTTTGGATTGCAGCGTTCTGCTCTTCTGATGATGCGCTGTGACCCTGCAGTAGCGCAAAGGCTGCGCAGCGTTAACGCGCAGTGCGTGCGAATGAGCCCCTGTGAACGGTTGACTAGATGAGTAATCTGATTGACTGGCTCCCTCAGTCCTATTCCGTAGCCTTTTTGGATAAAATTGGGTTTTAACATGCCTCAAGTCCAACTAATCGCATTAAACAGATATTCTCCCCGGGCCTGTCTAGTAGATTAATGGATCTGGTTGGCCGTTTGCTGCGTCTAGGGGTGTTCCATGGAGCGCAGCACTTCGCAGCGATTGCGCAGCGCGATGCTGTTAGGTGGCGCCAGCGATGTTTGCGCTCGCATTACAGGGACCTCAACCTAGGTGCAATCCGGTCATACGAGGTTTCAGCTTCAGGCCCCCTGGGGAGAGCTGGGGGCATCGCTCCTGGGTGGCACGGTTTTGATGGTAGTGAGGCCCAGCATTGTTCCGAGCAGCATTTCCCCAAATGTGTTTTACAGTTTCTCATACAAGAAAATGCCCAGTGGAAGGAGAGGCCCACGGTCAGCTGAGATCAGGGAGCCCTGTCCACCCCGTCAAAGGCTTAGGGAAGTCCTGCAGGGAAGAACGCTGGTTTTCTAATTGATTTGGTCCTGAAGTCCTGTTTGCCATGATACCCACTCACACCTCAGAGAACACACTTTGGGAAACGGGGGGTGGGGGGTGGGACTGGGTCTTACTTAAAGGGCACCCTCGAGATATCCCTGGAAAACACACAGAGCCCTTAGGTGTTCGGATCAGAGAAGTCTAGCACAGCCTTAGGGCGACTTCACCGATCGTCCTGGTGGAAGGGTTGCTCACTGGTTCGCAGAACTGAACATGGTGGTTTGCACTTGGGTTCTGGTGGCGCAGGCGCAGGCGCAGGAGCAGCCAGCTGTGGCAGCGCATTAGTTTTGGCGCGAGCGAGCCTATGCTGCAGGGTCACTTTTGGCTGGTCAGAGAAGGAATAATGATATCACCTTCTTCCCCCCCCCCAATCTTTTTTTTTCCCTTTACAAATTTTCCCCTTTCCCTTTACCTCCTTCCCCTCCCATCTTCTTCTTTCATTAACCCCTCCTAAGGCATGTTATTTGAAAGCAATTGAGACGCAACCGAACTTTGCAGTAGCTTGGAGTAATCTTGGCTGTGTTTTCAATGCACAAGGGGAAATTTGGCTTGCAATTCATCACTTTGAAAAGGTTAGTCATTAAATGAATAATTGGTATTTACGAAGTGCTCGTGCATGCAAGGTGTTTTTACTAGAACGAAATCATACACCTCTACTTAAGCAGTCAGATAATATCTTTGTTTCCTAACAGTATTATAGCATTTGCTGGATGGTGTATGATATGGTAGTTTCCAGTTTTGCATTGAAAATATATTTTAGTAATAAAAAAATTCCTAGAAAAAAACCCAGGCAGCTTTACTGTAAAGAAGCAGGCCTTCGGGGTGAAAAGGCTGACTCAGCTCGAGGGCCGGAGCGTGCGGAATTAGTCCGGAGTGCCTTGTCATACCAGAAAGCAAGGACGCTTAGGTACTTTGATTATGTCAAAAAAGACTCAGGAGGCAACTGCACTCCACTGGCCCAAGATGAGACTTGAGTAGCAGTAGGAAAAATAACTGAAATATTTTGAAACTCTTCAGATACATTTTAATCCATGAATTCATCATTATACTCAGAAGAAATTCATTGGTCACCTCTAGAAGATAAGGAGCAACTCATTTTGAAAACTGGTGGAAAAGGGAAGAATAAAGCATATTCCCTCCCTTATATGAACTGAACCTCAGGTTAACCCAGTAGTTGATAGGGGGGGATTTCTCTTTCTAGAAGTATTCCCGCTAATGAAGAAGTAATGATAGAATCTGAGTGTCACCATTAATAGATTTAGGATTTATCAGTGGCAAGAAGAGACAGTCAGAGATGATGTACCTTGTGATAGAAGTAAACAATTGCACCAGGGAAGTAGCCTTGCAAAAAGAGAAAAGAGCCCAAATCTGATTAAGCTTGTAGTTCTAACTTCCAAATTACAGGAAATACATAGCACAGGGGAACATGTTAAAAGGCACTGTAGGGATGCAGTCAGCAAAATCCAACCCATGGGAAGCTAGAGGACAGTGATCTGATTTCTTCACCCAATTACAGGAATAAAAATGGAGGTTTAAATTAAACCTTTCATTCAAAAGATGAAAAGAAACGATGAACTCATGTTGACAAATTCTATGGGTCTGATTTGGATCCTGAATCAGCGGTGATAAGGAATTGTGCTACTGAATGGATATTTGATATTAAAGAATTGCTGTCAGTCTTGAGGGTATGGTTATGTTGGGAGGAAAAAGTGTGCCATCTAGTCCCTGAGATGCATTTTGAAATATTTTCAGATGGACCGATATGTCTGGGTTAGCTTCAAAGTGATCTGGGAAGAAAAGGAGTTAGGTTGAAATAGAGACTAAATAATAAATAAGATTGAACATGATTAGCCCTGGCCTGAGAGCTCAGTTGGTTAGAGCATTACCTCAATACACCAAGGTTGTGGGTTTGATCCCCGGTCAGGGCACATACGAGAAGCAACCAATGAGTGCATCAATAAGTGCAATGACAAATAGACGTTTCTCCCCCGCCTCCCAAATCAATAAAAAAGATTGGACATGATTAATTGTTGAAGCTGGATAATGGAGACCTGGGGGTTTGTTATATTCCTCTGCTTTTGCATATGTTTGGCATTTTTCTTTTTTTTTTTAATCCTCACCCGAGGACATTTTTCCATTTTTTGTTCAGGTAGAGTGGGAGGGAGAGAGAGGAACAGAGAGAGAGAGAGAGAGAGAGAGCGAAACATCGATGTGAAAGGGACACATCGAGTGGCTGCCACCCGCACAACCGACCAGGGCCGGGGACAAACTGCAACCGAGGTACGTGCCCTTAGCGGGAACCGAACCCGGGTCTCTCAGGACCGCAGGCCGACGCTCTAACCGCTGAGCCAAACCTGCCAGGGCATGTTTGGCATTTTTCATAATAAAACGTAAAAGTTTTGGGGGTGGACATCTATCACTATAGACAATCTAAGTTAAGTGCATCACACTGTCTCCACTCTAGAGTTGGCATCTAAGGGAAAAGGAAGTGTTCTGTATGAATCGTCAATGTATTCACAGTTAATACTACCTTTACCTTTTCAGTGTTTCAGTTAAGGTTTGCAGTTACCATACCTCTCTTGCTCAGTGATTGCCTACCTTGGTTGCACACGAGGAACTTGTAAGATATGGATGTCTTGGCCCCGTCTTCAGAGGGTCTGATTTAACTGGCTTGTGATGAAGCCAGGCACCTTTTAGGAGGTGAATTCTTAATACACTGCCAGGGTTGAGAATCATTGCTCTAGATCCAGCTGGCATATTTGTTTTCTTTCTTTGTTGATTTTAGAGAGAGGGAAGGAGAGAGAGATAGAAACATTGATGAGAAAGAACATCGATGGGCCACCTCCTGCATACCCCGCACTGGGGATTAGGCCCACCACCTGGGCATGTGTCCTGACTGGGAATCGAACCAGTGACCTCTTGGTGCATGGGTTGACGTTCAACTACTGGGCCACACCAGCCGGACATATCTGTCATATTTTAAGGCAACTTCAGAACTATCTGGATGAAACCATTTATTGGTTAGTTTCTTTTATTTTTTTTATCCTCACCTGAGGACATTTTTCCATTTTTTGTTCAGACAGAGTGGAAGGGAGAAAGAGGAAGAGAAAGAGAGAGAGAAACATCAACGTGAAAGGGACACATCGAGTGGCTGCCTCTCACACGACCCAACCAGGGCCGGGCACAAACCGCAACCGAGGTACGTGCCCTTAGTGGGAACCGAACCCGGGTCTCTCTGGATCACAGGTTGACGCTCTAACTGCTGAGCCAAACCGGCCAGGGCATTAGTTTCTTCTTGAAGTAATGTATCTTACTCCATATACAACTCTAATTACATAGCTTGCTGAGGTCTTACAGAGTATACAGTTGGAGTTACTGAGATATATATTTTCTTTTTCAGTTAGAGTTTGCTGCTTCTTCCTGCCATTATTTTTAGAAGAATTAGACTGATTAATCATTAATAAAATAAGGCGAACCATTAGAAGTATTCAGCTCAATGAAATTGGAGTAGACTCAATTTAAAAGTGTTCCCTTCAGGACATATTGCATGAGAAGTTATTTTGACAACATTGAGATTGTGAATAGTGAGTAATGAATAGGCACTAAAATAATTGGGTTTTAAAAGTGAAACAAATGTTTTAATGCATTAGGAAATGTAACTGGAGGTCTAGAAGGATTTCAATAAAAAGTTTTAATTGGGAAGTTAATCTGAAATCCTAACTTGCTCTAAGTAACTATCTTGTAACTTTCAGGCTGTCACATTGGATCCCAATTTTTTGGATGCTTATATTAATTTAGGCAATGTCTTGAAAGAGGCACGGATTTTTGACAGGTGAGAGAATGTTCTATTTGATCATTTTCTTGAGTCTTTGTTGTATTGACAGTTGGGAGTTTAGACTGAAATTACGGCAGAGGTCCCTTGAAATAAATTTCCATTTCTAGGATGTTGCTTTTTCCTGACCAGGTCTGCTTGTTATCTTTCATTCATAGGTATTGTTGCCTGACTTCATTGTTGGCTTTCCACAAAAGCCATTATCCTCACTTTGGAGTTCATTTGAAATTTTATTTATTGTAAAGATGTTGAAATGGTTATCTTTTAGGCTAACTTATTCCTTTGGTCTAATTCAGAAAGCTAAGTAAATTCTGATTTGGAACTTTGTTGGTGGTTGTCCAAGGAAAGCCTATTTCTCATGTGGGAATAGAATACATTTCAGTATAAAAATATATTTTATAAAGATGCAGTTTTGATTTGAGGTTAACTATAGTATAGCATGAATTCATTATAACTATAATTAATTGATACACTTAGGTATGGTATAGCATGGATTAATTGTACAAAAGTATCCATTAAAAGTCACATTTTGTGTGTGTGTGTGTGTGTGTTTGTTTATAGAGCTGTGGCGGCTTACCTTCGTGCCCTAAGCTTGAGTCCAAATCATGCAGTGGTACACGGCAACCTGGCTTGTGTATACTATGAGCAAGGCCTCATAGATCTGGCAATAGACACCTACAGGCGAGCTATTGAACTGCAACCACACTTCCCCGATGCTTACTGCAACCTAGCCAATGCTCTCAAAGAGAAGGGCAGTGTAAGGATTTTTATTCCGTCTACTTTGTTACATGGTGTAATTTAAACTGTCTTTTTAATACATATTGTATTAAGTATTTAGGTGGTAAATTATTTTCCTTTGGAGTTTTTTTTCTTAATCCTCACCTGAAGATATTTTTTCCATTGATTTTTAGATAGAGTGGGGGGAGGGGGAGAAACATCAATGTGAGACACATTCATTGGGTGCCTCCCACATGACCCCGACTGGGGCTTGGGACCAAACCTGTAACCCAGGTACATGCCATTGACCGGGAATTGAACCTGTTACCTTTGGTTCACGGGCCAACACTCTGATCTCTGAGCCAAACCGGCCAGGGCCAGAGTTTTGGTTGAGAGGAAGAAAAGCAAAAATATTTATTTTCTGGACTCTTACCAGCCATTAAGCTTAACTAATCAGTTGCTAGAGTAATAGCAGTGGTGGTTCTGGGGTTCCTCTGTGTAGGTTCTGAATAGTGTGCTTTGTTTTCTAGGTTGCTGAAGCAGAAGATTGTTATAATACAGCTCTCCGGCTGTGTCCCACCCATGCAGACTCGCTGAACAACTTAGCCAATATCAAACGAGAACAGGGAAACATTGAAGAGGCAGTTCGCTTGTATCGCAAAGCATTAGAAGTACGTTGAGGGTGGTGTGGCTGGGTATTTTGTCTGTGTGACAGTAGAGGGAGGGCAATTAAGTTTGCTACGTTAACCACTACTTTTGTAAAAATGGTGGTTGAATCATTCATTGAACCAGTAATTGAATACCTAAGGGATGAGTGAGGTCCTGTGGGACATTTAAGGAAATCCCCATATTGAATTTGTTATTGTATGGGTAGATGAGATCTGCCCCCAAAAAGCGAACAGTAAGCTACACTTCAAGAGAAGTTACCTATATGATTCCTGTGCCTGGTGGCCTGTGACAGTGGCTGGTAGGTGTGCTAGGAGTTTGGGAGAGAGGGATTTCAGAAGAGAGAGATGCTGCAGGGATCAGCATAAACTAAGATGCAGAAAGGTCTACCTCATTATGTTTTGGAACAAGGAGAGGTAAAAAATAAAGGAAGAGGCAGACTTTGAGCTACGTGGCTTTGCAGAGGGCCTAGGCTTGGAGAAGGTGGAGACAAGTGCAGGGATGTAATGGTACCTGAACAAAGATTGTCTGGTAAGTCATCGCTGTTGTAGCAGGTTTTTTTTTTTTTTTTTTTTTTATCCTCACCCGAGGACATTTTTCCATTTTTTGTTCAGGTAGAGTGGGAGGGAGAGAGAGGAACAGAGAGAGAGAGAGAAACATCGACGCGAAAGGAACACATCGAGCGGCTGCCACCCGCACAACCGACCAGGGCCGGGGACAAACTGCAACCGAGGTACTTGCCCTTAGCGGGAACCGAACCCGGGTCTCTCAGGACCGCAGGCCGACCCTCTAACCGCTGAACCAAACCGGCCAGGGCTTTTTTTTTTTTAATCCTCATCCGAGGATATTTTTCCATTTATCTTCAGACAGAGTGGGAGGGAGAGAAAGGGGGGAGAGAGAGAGAGAGAGAAACATCGACATGAGAGGGTCACATCGACTGGTTGCCTCCCGCACGACCCCGACCATGGCCGGGGACAAACCGCAACCGAGGAACGTGCCCTTGACCAGGACCGAGCCAAACTGGCCAGGGCTGTAGCAGTTTTTTTGAGCCTCAATTTTCTTGACTCTTTATAGGTCTTCCCCGAGTTTGCCGCTGCCCATTCAAATTTAGCCAGTGTCCTGCAGCAGCAGGGGAAACTGCAGGAAGCTCTCATGCATTACAAGGAGGCTATTCGGTAAGAGACTCACAGCGTTCTTTTTGTCTTTCTCGTCTACATTTTTAAATGTTTGGCGTGTGGTGTGCGCTAAAATGACCCGGGATAGCAGCAGACTGAATTCACGGTACAGGGGTTGAAGGTTTGTGTGCCCGATGAGTGAAAGCTGTGTCCTCCCCTCTAGGATCAGCCCCACCTTCGCCGATGCCTACTCGAACATGGGAAACACGCTGAAGGAGATGCAGGACGTGCAGGGCGCCTTGCAGTGCTACACCCGAGCCATTCAGATCAACCCTGCGTTCGCAGACGCCCACAGCAACCTGGCTTCCATTCACAAGGTGCCCCTGCTCGGCGGAACGTGCGCACCCTAGCTCCTCGCGTCGGTGTCAGGGAGGCACTTAGCCATTCCGCTCTCTCTGTTTCCAGGATTCGGGGAACATTCCGGAAGCAATAGCCTCTTACCGCACTGCTCTGAAACTTAAACCTGATTTTCCTGATGCTTACTGCAACTTGGCTCATTGCCTGCAGGTAAACAGTCGCATGCCAGTCGTGGGTTTTCGGTGTTGTAATCACTTCTGTATGGTCATGTGCCATATTAATCAAAGCCTGCCTAGAGACAGTGGTGGGTTTTTTTTTAATCCTTACCCAAGGATATTTTTCTTTTTCTTTTTTTTTTTTTTATCCTCACCCGAGGACATTTATCGATATTTTGTTCAGCTAGAGTGAGAGGGAGAGAGAGAGAGAGAAACATCGACGTGAAAGCGACACATCGAGTGGTTGCCACCCACATGACCCAACCAGGGCCGGGGACAAACTGCAGCCAAGGTACGTGCTCTTAGTGGGAACCGAACCCGGGTCTCTCCGGACCACAGGCCGACGCTCTAACCGCTGAGCCAAACCGGCCAGGGCCCAAGGATATTTTTCCATTGATTTACAGAGAGAGAGGGAGGGAAGGAGAGAAACATCAATATGAGAGAGACACATCGATTGGTTGCCTCCCGCATGACCCGACCAGGGCCGGGGATTGAACCTCAACCATGGTACCTGCCCTTGACCGGAACCGAACCCAGGTCTCTTTGCATCACAGGCTGACGCTCTAACCACTGAGCAAAACTGGCCAGGGCGAGACAGTGTTTGTTTTTAATAGGTTATTTGACTGGCATTGTTTTAGGCCAGAGACACAGAAAATGTTGAATCTTGCAATAGGCTTTTCTGTATAACTTCTTTCTTTTGCCTCCTCTAGATTGTCTGTGATTGGACAGACTATGACGAGCGAATGAAGAAGCTGGTCAGCATTGTGGCTGACCAGTTAGAGAAGAACAGGTTGCCCTCCGTGCACCCACATCACAGTATGCTGTACCCTCTCTCGCATGGCTTTAGGAAGGCCATTGCTGAGAGGCATGGGAACCTCTGCTTGGACAAGGTGCGAGTCTTTTCCTTCCATCTTGCTGTTGTCAAGTCAAACGCGCTCAGAAACTATGAGTCACAAGTGTAGCCTGGTGAGTTGCCGTAAGGCGAACACCAGCTAAGTCGAGAGATGAAACTTGGTCAGCCATCCCAGAAGCCCCTTGCCTTGTGTCCTGCTTCAGTTCGAACCCCGTCCATTCCAGAAGGCGGAATTCTCAAATGAAATGCTAACAATAGACCGATGGTTTTCCTTTCATTTGAAAACCATAATGTTCATTAGAGTCCGCATGTGAATGAAATGCTACAGTGTTTGTCTTTCTCTGGCTGGATTATTTCATGGAGCATAATACATTCCAGGTCCATCCAATGAACAAAATAAACAAGCAAACAGAAACGGGCTCATAGATACAGAGAACAGACTAACAGCTGTCAGAGGGGAAGGGGCTGGGGGGTGAAGTAGGTGAAGGAATTAAGCAAAAAAAAAAAGAAACAAACAAAAAAAGCAAACCCGAACTCAGACATAGACAACAGTGTGGTGCTTGCCAGAGGGAGGGAGGTACAAGAGGGTGAAGGGGGGATAAATGGTGATGGAGGGAGCCTTGACTTGGGGTGTTGAACACGCAGCACCATATACAGATGGTGTAGAATTGCGCACCCGAAGCTTGTATAATTTTATTCAACGGTGTCACCCGAATAACTCAGTACAAATTAAAAGAAAAGGCCATGACGTTCAATAAAGGGTTGCTATTTTGTACTCCTTTTTGAGATTTAGAGCACTGTATACTTGACCAGGGGTGGGACTCTGCTTGGTGGAATATATTGGACTCCTAAGTGTAATTCTGTGCTTTGTTTAAACGCTTCCCTATGGAGTTTTCTAAAATGCAGGGTTTGTCATGCTCTGTCTACACTGCCTTCTTCCTACAAGTTTTAGCTTTGCTCGGGCTGTTTCTGAGGGGACAGGCGAACGCCTAAACTGCTAAGGGCGCACTGAACTGGCTGTGTGTGTGTGAATGACGAGAGGCATTGTGGGCAAACCGTTCCCAGCAGGAGTGAGGTGCAGGTTTGGTGGTCTGTCTGTAGTCATTCTTTCCCGATGAAAATTTCTAACAAGCATTGGATTCCGTTGGTAGATCAATGTCCTTCATAAGCCACCATATGAACATCCGAAGGATCTGAAGCTCAGTGATGGTCGACTGCGTGTAGGATATGTGAGTTCTGACTTTGGGAACCATCCTACTTCCCACCTCATGCAGTCCATCCCAGGCATGCACAATCCTGATAAATTCGAGGTAAGATTAGTGTTGCCCCAGAGTCACTATCTGTTTATAAAGCAAACCAAGCAAGTCCACAGTGGCGGATTGATCGCCACCATTAGGTGTTAAGTGCAGTGTCTGTCGGAAAGAGTTGAGAGAGGGTTATTGAATGGACCGTGCGCTGCCTTTCAGGTGTTCTGCTATGCCCTGAGCCCAGATGATGGCACGAACTTCCGAGTGAAGGTCATGGCAGAAGCCAATCACTTCATTGATCTTTCCCAGGTAGGTGAAATGCTCACGCTTCCAACTTTTCCTTTTGAGCAAGTAGTGAATTAAACTGTTGGCATGTAGTGTTTTTCACGACAGGTATTTAACCTCAGCTACTACCTATGGGCACTTGCTTTGATCTTATCTCCTTGATCGTTTATGTTTGCAATCTGCAGAGGTTTGGCCGAGGTTGCAAGTGAAATAGAAACGTGGTGTACTTTTGCTTGGACATAAAACTTTCCTGGGGCCCTGGCTGGTTTTGCTCAGTGGTTAGAACGTCAGTCTGAGGTCCAGAGAGACCCGGGTTCGGTTCCCGCTAAGGGCACGTACCTCGGTTGCAGTTTGTCCCCGGCCCTGGATGGGTCATGCGGGTGACAGCCACTCAATGTGTCCCTTTTACGTTGATGTTTCTCTCTCTTTCCCTCCCATTCTGTCTGAACAAGAAATGGAAAAAGGTCCTCGGGTGAGGATCAAACAAACAAACAAAAAAATTTTCCTGGGCATTGAGCACTTGGGACAGTAGATACTTAATATACTGAATAAATTGAACAGAATAGCTTGGAAGAATGAATAGGTCATTTAAAAATGGTTCATCTGTTTCCATGGGCCTTGGCCTTTGCTCTTTATTTCTATACTTGCTTTATTGTTGTTTCCTCTAGGAGCATAAGTTTTATTAAGATTAAGATTGAAACCTGTGAGGGAATTAACTTACCGAGGGTGTGGACTAGAGTTTTTTGTTTTTTTAATCCTCACCCGAGGACATTTTTCCATTTTTTGTTCAGGTAGAGTGGGAGGGAGAGAGAGGAACAGAGAGAGAGAGAGAAACATCGATGTGAAAGGGACACATCGAGTGGCTGCCACCCGCACAACCGACCAGGGCCGGGGACAAACTGCAACCAAGGTACGTGCCCTTAGCGGGAACCGAACCCGGGTCTCTCAGGACCGCAGGCCGACGCTCTAACCGCTGAGCAAAACCGGCCAGGGCTAGAGTTATTTTTTGTTACTTCATTGGCCACTTGGTGACTGACAGTGATATGCAGTATCTAGTATGTCTGGTAATTCATATTTGAGTCTTAAAAGTCTTAGCAGGAGGGTTGTTAGATTTGTTATTTAATACATAATATGTACCAACATCTTTTGCAAGATAGCTGTTGCTTTGGAAGTATGCCTGACTATACTTTTTAAAAATCATCTGAGGATATTTTTTTCCATTGCTTTTTTGAGAAAGTGGAAGGAAGGGAGGGTTGGCGGGGGGAAACATCAATGTGAGAGGGACACATCTATTGGTTGCCTCCTACATGCACCCTAATGAGGGCTGGGGATAGAACCTGCAACCCAGGTCCGTGCCCTTGACTGGGAATCGAACCCGCAACCCTTTGGTGCATAGGCTGATGCTCTAACTATTTAGCAACACTGGCCAGGGCTACCTGACCATTTTTGATGTAGGGTTGGACTCTGTGTCCGAGAATCATACCGCCCTCCACCTCTGAGACCTTCAGAGACTCACTGCTTGTCGACTGAGGTCTGAACTCTTCAGCATGGCCTTCACAGCCTTGTTTGCCGATACTTGTTACCCGCCATCCCCCTCATGTATATCCTGTACCAAATGGAAGGGATCTGTTTGCCACGTTTAAACCTGCCGTACACTTCTCTCTGGTTCTTGATTCATCTTGTTCTCTATCCCGATTATACTCTGTCCAGCTCCCTCAACTCCTCTTCATCTTTGAAGGGCCGTTTCAGATACTAGGCCCTCTACGAAGTCTTGTTAACCACGCATTCAGGCTAGAAGTCAGCACTCTTTCCTCTGTACAGATGACCCTTGAACAATGCAGGGGTTGGGGGTGCTGACCCTCATGCAGTTGAAAACTCACGTGTAACTTTTGACTCCCCCAAAACGTAACTACTAATAGCCTACTGTTGACTGGAAGCCTTATTAAAAACATAAGCAGTCAATGAACACGTTTTGTATGTCATATGTACTATAGACTGTATTCTTTCAGTAAAGTAAGCTAGAGCAAAGAAGATGATAAGGAAGCCATGATGGAGGGAAAATACATGTATAACCCTGAACTGTATTTATCAATACCTTAACGTTGTCTGTTTACAAGATGAATCATCTGTCTGTCGGAACCTACATCAGTATTGTTTTGCGTGAGGCAGAACACTTACATGTGTTCCTAACACTAGACATCAAAAAATGAAAAGATGATGTGAAAAAGAAATACATTTATTTACAGGTATACGATTCATGCATTGGTAACGAACGGCAGCAGCACGATTGCTTTATGGTAGCCTAGCCTATACACTCATGGTGAGCTGTTATAAAATGTTGGTGGCATGCAGTTTACAGTCATATTCAGAACGGAGTATTGGAGACATTGCTACTTTTTAAAAAACCACTTACCTGTAATTATAGGCTGATAGGCATACTGTACAGTAATGTAATTCTTTGAAGGCAAAGTTATAAAAAAGTAAGTAAACTAATCCATTCTTAATTTAATATTAAAGAGTCCTCACCTTATGCCTATTTATGGACAGGCTGTCCACTCCCAGCTGAGTCTTGCAGACCATACTCTGCGCGCTGATGAATATGTAGGCGACGACACAGAAATGCTTCATGCAGTTCTTGCCATCATTAACTGTACAGCAAGATCATTTACTGTTCATTAAGTGCAAATGGATCATCATAAAGACCTTCATCCTCATGTTCACGTGGAGCAGGCGGGGGGTGGGGGGGGAGGAAGAGGATGGGCTGATTTTGCTCTCCCCGGCGGAAGGGGTGGGGGGTGGGAGGCGAGGCAGGCATACTCGTAATTTTTCAGAAATACATTTGTGATTTCTGCCTGCAGGTTTTGCTTTTTCATTTCCCTCAAAATGTTTTACGTGGTACCCAACCCTTCTTCCACTGTTTGCTTTCGTTTTAGTGCCCGTATCATAGAAGGGCTCATGTTGTCAGAGAAGTGCAAAGCAGTCTTGAATAACTGGAAGGCTTCCGCAGATCGCCTGATGGCCGTTTGTTTGGGGCGCTGCTTCTACGTCTCCCTCACTGTCGGGCTCTGCTTCGGAAGCGCGCATCTCCAGCAAGTCAGCTTTTGTTCATTCCTCTGGTGCGGTGCCTGTTAGCTGCCTAACCTCTCTGAGATCCGTATCTCCGCCCTTCAGCCCCTCACCTTCTTGCCAGATCCAGTCTCTTCCACGATTTCCTTCTTGACTGTCGTGAATCCTGTGAAATCATGCGCTGCTTCTGGACAGTTTTCTCCAGCAGGGATCGATTGATTCCGGCTCGATGGCTTTCCTGGCTCTTGCTCTACCGGTGTCCTCTGTGGGGTGGTCCAGACCCGCACGATGTTCTCTCAGTCGGGGTTCTCTTGAATACAGCTGACAGATCTTCCCGTAGAGGACCATGTGCAATGAGCCTTCGGAGTCCTTATGACCCCCTGATTTAGAGGCTGAATCAGAGACATGTTTGGGGGCAAGCAGTCCATTTTGACCCCTTTGGTGTTGAACTCATGGGGTTTAACACCATGCTGGCAAGGTACTTAGGATTCTCATTGTCCAGGTCTTGTTGTAGAACCAAAAGACTGGCAGCTGGTGTTTATCTTTTCCCTTTGAGGCTGGGGGGAGGTGAGGGTCGGGGGTTAGCCGAGGGTAGTCCTGATCACACATGACGGCTTTTGCACGAAGCAGAGTTTGCCTTGTCCCTTCCTGCCTTAAAACCCTGGTGCTCACTTCTCTTCCTAATAAATGTCATTTGTGGCCTTTCCCCCAGAATAGGTGCTTTCATCTGCATTAAAAACCTGTTCAGGCCCTGGCCAGTGTGGCTCAGTGGCTGAGCATCACTCCACGCACCGAGAGGTCACCGGTTCAGTTCCTGGTCAGGGCACATGCCTGGGTTGTGGACTTGATCCCCAGTAGGGGCGTTTCTCTCTCATCAATGTTTCTCTCTCTCCTTTCTCTCTAAAATCAATTTAAAAATATATTTAAAAAAACAACAACAAACCAACCTGTTCGGGCAGATAGCCTTTCTCCTCAATGATTTTAATGGCGTCTGGGAACTTGTCTGCTGCCTCTTGGTTGACGGAACCTACTTTTCCCATTGTCTTGACATTTTAAAGCCAAACCTTTTTCTAAAATTATCAACCCATCCTTTGCTAGCATGACATTCTTCACCTTTAGATCCTTCCCCTTCCTTTTGCTTGAAGTTGTCATAAAATGACGGCTCTTTCTCGAGTCACATTAGAGTGCACAGGCCTGCCTTTTTTACGGCAGCTTGGCGCCCACATCAAAGCCGCATTTTCATAAAAGTGCAAGGGTTTTGAGCCTGCTGGCGTAGCTGCAGAGATGCTTCGTGAGTTCCCTTTCCTCCTCCAATGGTTCTTGCAGCTGGATTCGTTTAGCTTGAAAGGCAGCCAGCCATGGCTGCAGACCTCAGTCTGCGGCGGTGCATGCCAAGCAATTCAGCGTTCTCTCGGAGGGTCACGGCTTCTCTCTGCTTCTTGGGAGCACTTTCAGCATCACTAGAGGCACTTTCAGTGGGTCCCATGTGTTATGCAAGGATAACGGTGTTGCACTAAACACCACGAAAAGGACGCGAGAACCGTGAGAGATCGCTTTTGAGTGCCGCGCAGTTTGCCGGAGTGATGAACCACTCGCAGACGGTTAGCATCACGCGGCGTTGTCAGCAGACACTCACAACAGTTGAGCTCACCGCAGTAGCAACAAGAAGTGGCCATGCATTGACTCCAGTGGTACCAGCTGTACTGTGGTGAATTTCCTGCAGTTGTGACATAATACCACATCTTTATGTTCATTTACATCTCTCTCAACTGCAGACGCAGTCATGTGCAGTCTAAGTGTGAAAGTTTGGATCGCTTTTAACTTTTGATAATGTATTTTTGTACATTTTTATGGTCGTAAATGATAAAAGAGGCTAGTTCGTATCTAGATATATTTTCTGCATTCACAGCATAACTTTTTCTAAATTGTTTTCAGTAGTTCTAGGCCATGTGATTCGTCTGTGAGTTTTTTCAAGTTGTCGCATTTCTCCAAAAATTTTTCCAGTATATTTATTGGAAGATACCGGCACTGTTTAAACCCAGATTGTTCAAGGGTCAGATATGTTCTGTTTCTGTCATGCTTTGGGCCCATTTTACTGGCACGTAACCATATTTCCCCCTGCGTTAACATAATTTGTGTTCTTGCCACTTGTGTATCTGGGAATCTGAATTCTGTTTCATGCCATTGAAGCTAATAATTTGTTTAAGATTATGCATAGTGAGTTCTTATTTTTTATCCCATAGATTCCATGCAACGGAAAAGCAGCTGATCGGATCCATCAGGATGGTATACACATCCTTGTGAATATGAATGGTTATACCAAGGGGGCTCGAAATGAACTCTTTGCTCTCAGGCCAGCTCCTATTCAGGTAAAGGAATTTATAATTGCTCACAATGTTTATTTGGCTAAAAAGACAAGTAATGTGCTTTTTTCCCCCTCTGGTTACCTGGCATTGGAAACAATAGAGCGGGCGTGGCTGACTTAAGGGGAAAAGGTGCAGTTCTTGAAATGCACAGGGACAGAATTCGGAGTGTAGAACGCAGTGCCCACAGTACATGTATACAGAGACATGCATTCCATAGTTGGGCATAAATTGCTGTTCCTTGTCTTGTAAATTGGAAAACCAATTTAGCAGTTGCATTAGTCTAAAATATTATTTGATTGTAGTTGGCTAACGAAGTCAGTCCTCTGTTTGTTTACTTATTTAATTTTGGACCCCTTGGATGAAGGTTCTTATTCAGTGTTTGGTCTTTTTTTTTTTCTCCTTAGGCAATGTGGCTGGGATACCCTGGAACTAGTGGGGCGCTTTTCATGGATTATATCATCACCGATCAGGAAACCTCACCAGCTGAAGTTGCTGAGCAGTATTCTGAGAAACTGGCGTATATGCCTCATACTTTCTTTATTGGTGATCACGCTAATATGTTTCCTCATCTGAAGGTAGGTAGAAGAAAAGTGCCGTGGGAGAGTCGCAAGGAACTGCAGTCATTTATTTTCTTGCTGTTGTCCCTATGTATGTATCCTAAAAGACACGTCTGCAACTTTTTCTTTTCCCGATTAGAAAAAAGCAGTCATCGATTTTAAGTCCAACGGGCACATTTACGACAATCGGATTGTTCTGAACGGCATCGACCTCAAAGCATTTCTTGATAGTTTACCAGATGTGAAAATTGTCAAGGTCAGAACCTGGGCAGTGTTGTCATTGAAATAAAGTTACCTGCAGCTGGGATCTTTTCCCTAACGATGCGTTTTGTGCCGTTTATCTTAAAGATGAAATGTCCTGATGGAGGAGACAATGCAGACAGCAGTAATACCGCTCTGAACATGCCGGTTATTCCTATGAATACGATTGCAGAAGCCGTTATTGAAATGATTAACAGAGGCCAAATTCAGATAACAATTAACGGATTCAGTATTAGCAATGGACTGGCAACTACCCAGGTGAGAAGAGAATAATAGAGCGTGATGTGTACCACCAGGTATACATTCATCTCCTTGAAATCTCATAGTAACTCTAGCAGGTAAGCGTACTTATCCCCGTTTTATAGACGAGGAAATGAGATCAGTGGAAATTGGCATCTTATATAAGTTTGTCTGATTTTAAAATCTCAATTCAACCAGCAGGTTCTTCTACTAGTGAGAGTCTACTGTGTTCAGATCTTGTTATTTCCTGCGGTGGCTTTACTCTTTAACAGTGATGAACTTGGTTCTGTAACTGACTCTCCTCTCCCTAGCTAATTCTTACTCCTCTTTAAGACCTTCAGTTCAGAGCTCCTCCAAGAATTTGTTCCTGTCTTTTTTTTTTAATCTTGTTCCTTTATTGATTTTAGAGAAAGAAGAAGGGGGAGAGAGAGAGAGAGAAACATCAATGAGAGAGAACATCGATTGGCCGCCTCCTATATGTTCCCCACTGGGGATCGGGCCCACAACCTGGGCATGTGCCCTGACCTGTAATCGAACCAGCGACCTCTTGGTACGTGGGTCGACGCTCAACCACCGAGCCATACCACCAGGCTTGTTCCTGTCTTTATCCTCAGATTTCTTTAGATAAATACCCAGAAGTGGGATTATTGGGTCATATTGGTATAACTTTTTTCTTTTTAATTTAATATGTCATGAATACTTTCTCTTATACTTCAGTGACATAACTCTTAATGGCTATACCATTTTGCACGTTAAGGATTCTTCACTGATTAAAAAATATCGGACTACGTTAACTTTAAAAATAATCATCATATTCTTTTTCTCGTTCTAGATCAATAATAAGGCTGCCACTGGAGAGGAGGTTCCCCGTACCATTATTGTAACCACACGTTCTCAGTACGGCTTACCAGAAGATGCCATTGTGTATTGTAACTTCAATCAGTTATATAAAATTGACCCTTCTACTTTGCAGATGTGGGCAAATGTGAGTATATGTAGATTCGTTATTAATATCTAGAGACTGATAAAGATTCTGTATACAGGTTGTCTTATTGAGGCTGCCTCCCACCCCATTCATGAGCAACTGTGCTCATTTATTCTTTTTTAAAAAAATAATTTACTTTCCAGGTACAGTTGACATGCTATGTTATATTATTTCAGGTGTACAGCATAGTAATTAGACGTTTATATACCTTACAAAGTGATTACCCCAATAAGTTTAGTACTCATCTGACATCCTACGTAGTTACTACAATATTGACTGTATTTCCTGTGCTATACTTTACACCTCTAGGCTGTTTTTGTAACTGGGAATTTGTACTACTAAACTCCTTTCACAACTTTTTCACCCATTCCCCGAACCTCCCTCCGATCTGGTGACCATCGATTTTTTTCTCTGTATCTATGAGTTTGTTTCTTTATTTTATTCTTTAGGTTCCACATGTAAGTGAAATCATGTGATTCTTGTCTTTTTCTTTCTTTTTTCATCGTCACCTGAGGAGAGTCTTGTATTTATCTTCAGATAGAATGGGAGGGAGAGGGGGGGAAGAGAGAGAGAAACATTGATGTGAGAGAGACACATTGAGTGGTTGCCACCCACACAACCCCAATCAGGGCTGGGGACAAACTGCAACCAAGGTACATGCCCTTAGCAGGAACCGAACCCGGGCCTCTCTGATATGTGGGCCGATGCTCTAACCACTCAGCCAAACCAGCCAGGGCTAATTCTTGTCTTTTTCTGTCTGATTTATTTTACTTAGCATAATAATACCCTCTAGGTCTAGCAATGTTGTCGCAAATGGTAAGATTTCGTTTCTTTTTAATGGCTGAGTAGTATTCCATCTTAGATATGTAAGGCATCTTTATCTAATCGTCTATTGATGGACCCTTGGGCTGCTTCCTTATCTTGGCTATTATAAATTATGCTGTGGTGAACATAGGGATACATAGATATTTTTAAGTTAGTGTTTTAGATTTCTTCTGATAAATACCTAGAAGTGGAATTGCTGAGTCATATGGTAGTTCTATTTTAAATTTTTTGAGGAACCTCCACACTGTTTTTTTATAATGACTGTGCACCAGTTAGTAATCCCACCAACAGTGCACGAGGGTCCCATTTCTCCACATCCTTGCCAACACTTGTTGTTTGTTGATTTATTGATAATAGCCATTCTGACAGGTGTGAGGTGATATCTCATTGTGGTTTTAATTGGCATTTCCCCAATTGATTAGTGATGTTGAGCATCTTCTTGTATGTTTGTTGGCCATTTGTATGTTCTCTTTGGAGAAATGTCTGTTCAAGTCCTTTGCCCATTTTTCAATTGGATTGCTTGTTTTTTTGGTGTTAAGTTGTATGAGCTCCTTACATATTTTAATCCTCACCTGAGGACATTTTTTTTTGTTTTGTTTTGTTCAGTTAGAGTGAGAGGGAGAGAGAGACAGAGAGAGAAACATCGACATGAAAGAGACACATCGAGTGGCTGCCACCCGCACGACCTAACCAGGGCCGAGGACAAACTGCAACCGAGGTACATGCCCTTAGCGGGAACCGAACCCGGGTCTCTCTGGACCGCAGGCTGACGCTCTAACCGCTGAGCCAAACCGGCTAGGGCGAGCTCCTTACATATTTTAGATGTTAAGTTCTTATTGGATGTATCATTGGCAAATATCTTCTCTCATTCAGTAGGTTGTCTTTTTGTTTGTAGATGGTTTCCTTCTCTATGCAAAAGCTTTTAGTTTGATGTGGTTCCATTTGTTTATTTTTTCCTTTGTTTCCCTTGCCCAAGGAGACATATTAAAAATATTGTTAAAAGGCCTGGCTGGTGTGGCTCAGTAGTTGAGTGTTGACCAATGCACCAAGAGGTTGCCAGTTCGATTCCTGGTCAGGATACATGCCCAGGTTGTGGGCCCGCTCCCCAATGGGGGACATGCAGGAGGCAGCCAATTGATGTTCTCGCTCATTGATGTTTCTCTCTCTCTCCCTCTCCCTTCGTCTCTCTCTCTCTCAAATCAATAAAGGGAAAAAAATGTATTAAAAAAATATTGCTAAGAGCAATGTCAAAGCGTTTACTGCATATGTTTTCCTCTAGGAGTTTTATTGGTTTGGAACTTACATTGAAGTATTTAATGCATTTTGAGTTTATTCTTGTGCCTTGTGTAAGAAAGTGGTCTAGTTTCATTTTTTTGCATGTATCTGTCCAGTTCTTCCAACACCATTTAAAAAGAGACTTTCTTTACCTTATTGTTTATTCTTGCCTCCTTTGTTAAACATTAATTGACCATATAGGCATGGGCTTATTTCTGGGCTCTCTATTCTGTTTCATTGACCTATGTGTCTATTTTTATGCCCATACCATGCTCTTTTGATTGCCTATATAGCTTTGTAGTATAGTTTGATATTAGATAGCATGATACCTCCAACTTTGTTCCTTGTCAAGATTGCTTTGGTTATTTGGGGTCTTTTGTGGTTCCATAAAAAATTTTAAATGATGTATTCTATTTCTGTGAAACATGTCTTTGGTATTTTCATAGGGATTACATTGACTCTAGGATACTTTGAGAAGTATGGACATTTTAATAATGTTAATTCTTTCTATCCATGAGCAATAGTATATGCTTCAAATTATTTGTGTCGTCTTTCATATCTTTCTTCAATAACATAATTTTCTGAGTATAGGTTTTTTTACCTCCTAGGTTAAATTTATTCCTAGGTATTTTATTCTTTTTGATGCAATTGTAAGTGGAATTGTCTTCTTAATTTCTCCTTCTGATTGTTTGTTATTGGTGTATGAAAGTGCAACCAATTTCTGAATATTAATTTTATATTCTGCTACTTTACTGAATTCATTTATCAATTCTAATAGTTTTTTGGTGGATTCTTTAGGGATCTCTCTATATAGGATTATGTCCTCTGAAAATCATGACAGTTTTATTTCTTCCTTTCCAATTCAGATGACTTTATTTACTTTTTATTTTTTGACTGCTATGGCTAGGACTTCCAGTACTATATTGAGTAAAAGTGATGAAACTGGGCATCCTTGTCTTGATCTTAAAGAAAAAGGTTTTAGCTTTTCACCATTAAGTATAATGCTACCGTGGTTTTGTCATATATGGCCTTTGCTATGTTGAGGTATGTTCACTCTATTCCCATTTTGCATCTATTGACATGATCATAATATTTTTATCTTTTCTTTTTTTTAATCCTCACCTGGGGGTATTTTTCTGTTTATCCTCAGATAGAGTAGGAGGGAGGGAGAGAGAAACATCGATATGAAACAGCCACATTGACTGGCTGCGTCCTATGCGACCCCGACCAAGGCTGTGGACGAACTGCAACCGAGGTACATGCCCTTGACCAGAATTGAGCCCGCAATTCATTGGTCCGCAGTAGGGAGCGTGCAGGAGGCAGCCAACCAATGTTTCTCTGTCATTGATGTTTCTGTCTCTCTCTCCCTTTCCCTAACTCTCTCCCTGAAAATCAATAAAATATATTTTAAAAAATAAAATGTATACATTTTAAAAAATTAAAGAGAAATGTTTAGTAAAATGTACATCCAAAGTCATCTGGTCCATAGTTTTGTTTGTTGGGAGTTTTTTTTATTACTGACTTGATTTTGTTAGTAGTTATTGGTGTGTTCAGATTTTCTGTTTCTTCCGGCTTCACCCTTGGAAGATTGTATGTTTCTAGGAATTTATCCATTTCTTCCAGGTTATCCAATTTGTTGGCATATGATTGGTTTCAAGCGTACAATTCTATAATACATCATCTGTGTATTGTATTGTGTGTTCACCACCCAAAGTCAAGTCTCCTTCCATCACTATTTATAACCCCTGTACCCTCTTCTACATTCTCCCACCTCTTTCTGGTAATCACCATACTGATGTCTGTGTCTTTGAGTATTTTTTTTTAATTTTTTTTCTTTATTGATTTTAGAGAGACAGGAAGGGAGAGGGAGAGACTGAAACATCGATGAGAGAGAACATTGGCCGCCTCCTGCATGTCCCCCACTGGGGGTCGGGCCCACAACCTGAGCATGTGCCCTGACCGGGAATCGAACTGGCGACCTCTTGGTGCATCGGTCAACGCTCAACCACTGAGCCACACTGGCCAGGCCGAGAATTTTTTTTTCTTCTTAATCTTTTCACCTATTTCACCCAGCACCCCAATCCTGCTCTCCTCTGACAGCCATCAGTCTATTCTCTGTATCTGTGAGTTTGTTTCTGTTTTGTTTGTTAGTTTATTTCGTTCATTAGATTCCACATATAAGTGAAATCATATGGTATTTGCTTTTCTCTGACTGGCTTATTTCACTTACATAAGCTCTAGGTCCATCTACGCTGTTGCAAAAGGTAAGATTTCCTCCCCCCCCCCCCCCCATGGCCAAGTAGTTGACAGCTTTTTTATCCACTCATCTACTGATGGGCACTTGGGCTGCTTCCAGATCTTGGCTGTTGTAAATAACACTGCAGTGAGCATAGGGCTGCATATATATCCTTTTGAGTTAGTGTTTGGGGTTTCTTTGGCTATGTTCCCAGTGACCCCGTGCTCCTCAGAGAGCCTTTGCAGCTGAGATATCCATCCTGAATCCCAGCTGCTGCCTGAGGAGGCGGGGCCAGCCCTCTTCACATCTCTGCGCTTCCTACCCATCTCACTGGCTTCTGCAAATCCTTGGTTATCAGACTTTGGTTCAGCTAGTCTGCAGTTGGTCATTCAGGTTGATTGTTCTATATTTTAGTTGTGATTCCAGTTTGGTTCTGGGAGGAGGTGAGTGTAACATCCACCTACTCTGCGGACATCTTGGATCACTGTCTTTTCATCACTGAATATTTTGTGCCAGTGTCTTCTGGCTGCAAAGTTTCTGTTGAGAAATCAGTTGACAGTTTTTACAGGAGCTCCCTTGTAGGTTATTAACTGATATTTCTCTTGCTACTTTTAAGATTCTCTTTATCTTTAACCTTTGGCATTTTAATTATGATGCGTTTTGGTGTGGGCCTCTTTGGGTTTGTCTTATTTGGGAGTCTCTGTTCTTCCTAGACTTGTATGTCTATTTCCTTCACTAGGGTAGAATAATTTTGTTATTTTCCCTTCAAATAGCTTTTGAATCCCTTGCTCTCTCTCTTCTCCTTTTGGTACCCCTATGATGTGAATATTGGTATGCTTGGTGTTTTCCTAGAGGTTCCTTAAACTGTCCTCATGTTTTTTCAATCCTCACCTTATTGATTTTATTGAGGGCGATGGAGAGAGGGAGAACGAGAGAACGAGAAACATCAATAGGTTGCCTCCAGTATGTGCCATGACCAGGGATTGAACTTGCAACCTAGGTATGTGCCCTGACCAAGAATCAAACCTGCAGCTTTTTGGTATATGGAATGATACTCCATCAACTGAGCCACAATGGCCAGGGCAAACTATCCTCATTTGTTTTTTTCATCCTCACTCAACATTTTTCCATTTTTTGTTCAGATAGAGTGGGAGGGAGAGAGAGGAAGAGAGAGAGAGAGAGAGAGATACATCGACATGAAAGGGACACATCGAGTGGCTGCCACCCTCATGACCTAACCAGGGCCGGGGACGAACTGCAACCAAGGCACATGCCCTTAGTGGGAGCCGAACCCGGGTCTCTCTGGTCCGCAGGCTGACACTCTAATCGCTGAGCCAAACTGGCCAGGGTTGTCCTCATTTTTTAAGTTATTTTTTTATTTTGCTGTCCTGGTTAGGTGTTTTCTACTACCTTGTCATCTAAATCACGGGATTCATTCAGTCGTCTTCATCTAATGTGCTATTTATTCCATCTAATGTATTCTTCATTGCAGTTATGTTTTTATTTCCTTATGTAAGTTCTCACTGAGTTCATCCATCTTCCCCTAAGTTCAGTGAGCATCCTTATCACCAGTGTTTTGAACTCTGTATGTGTGAGATTGCCTCCATTTGGTTTAGTTCTTTCTCTGGTGTCTTTTTTTTTTCCCACTTGGGACATATTTTTTTGTCTCCTCATTTTGGTTGCCTCCCTGTGTGTGTGTGTGTGTGTGTTTGTTTTTTTTTAAATCCTTACCTGAGGATGCTTTTCCATTTATTTTATTTTATTATTATTTTTTTTGTATCCTCACCCGAGGATATTTTTCCATTTTTTGTACAGATAGAGTGGGAGGGAGAGAGAGAGAGAAACATCGACGTGAAGGGACACATTGAGTGGCTGCCACCCGCACGACCAACCAGGGCCGGGGACAAACTGCAACCGAAGTACATGCCCTTAGCGGGAACTGAACCCGGGTCTCTCCGGACCGCAGGCCGACGCTCTAACCGCTGAGCCAAACTGGCCAGGGCTTTCCATTTATTTTTTTTTTATTTATTTTTTTAGATGAGCTGGAAGTGAGGGAGGGAGAGAGAGGAACATTGATGTCAGAGCAACGCATTGGTTGGTTACCTGCCGCACAACACCAGCTGGGGCCGGGGATCAAACCCACAGCCCTTCAGTCCATGGGCTGATGCTCTAACCGCTGAGCAACACTTGCCAGGGTTGTGTGTGTCTGTGTATGAGGTAGATCTGTTCCATCTCCTGATACTGACAGAGTGGCCTTATATAGCAAGTGTCTTGTGGGGCTCAGTTGCACAGTCTCTCTGGTCACCTGAGCTGGGTCCTCCTGGGGTGTCCCCTGTGTGGGGGTTGTCCCCTCTTGTTGTAGTCATGTAGTCATGTAGGCATGTCCGTTGGTGCAGTTGACCCTCAGGCTGACAGCTGTGAAGGCTGGCTGTGCTTGCCACCGACGAGCTGTTGTGTGTGGCTGACCCCTCCGAGCGGGAGTTGCTTTCGCAGGACTCAGTTCTAGCGGAGTCCGCCCTTTGGTTGCTTCGGTTCTGGAGCTGGCTGGGTGGGGGACTGATGCACTCGGAAGCAGGGCACCGGACAACTGGTTACTAGGGTGCCACTGTGGTTCAGGCCGAGGACAGCCGCCGTGTGCCGGGCCACAGTGTATGCCGAGGCCAGCGCTGCTCGTACGGGCTCTGGGCCTTGGAGAGAGTGTTGCAGGAGCCCAGGGCAGCCGTGCGTCTTGTGGGCCTTGGAGAAAGTCGGCAGCACGAGCCTAGGTCAGCCACCGCTCATGTGGGCTTGTCCTTGGAGTGAGTCCGCTGCATGAGCGGAGGCAGACCGCTCCTTGAAGAAGCCACCGGAGGAAGCTCGGGCCTGCTGCAGAGGCTCAGCGGGGCCAGGTTCTCAGGGAATCACGGGCAGGAGGAACAGAGCGAGCCGGGTGACAGGAGGGCGAGCATTTGGCATCTGCCTCCACTGGGCTGGCCGGGTGGCAGGAGCTGCACAGAACAGTGGTATCTGCCACCGCTTCCGTGGCCAGAGAGAGTGGCCCTGACCACTGCCCCTCCAGCCCGCACCCCGAAGATCGTCCATTTAGCTCCTCCCCAGATGTCCCTGGCGCTTTTCCAGCTGCTGCCCTGGCACTGGAGCTTAGAGTGAGCGAGTTTCTGTGCCAGCCCTTCAGGAGCAGCTGTCTCGGTGCTTCGCAGCCCGTTTTCACAGTGACATGTTCGGGGAGTTCTCAACCCTGCTGTCCTGGGCTGTGGAGCCCAGTGTGGGCCTGGGACCCTTAGCACCTCGTGGGGACCTCCACAGCCAAGATGGCCTTCCTGTTTCTCAGTTGCTGCACCGTGGGCGTGGGGCCTGTCTGCTCTACGTGTCTGCCCCTCCTAGCAGTGTTGATGTGGCTTCGTGACATCCTTATTTATAGGACTTCTGTTTGCTGCACTTCAGGTGGTTCTCAGTGGTTATAGGAGGAGGAAATCTCAGAATTTACCTACTCTGCTGTCTTCACCGGAAGTCTGTTGTGCTCAATTTGAATCTTCAAAAGAGTTGTGACTGTTTCAGCCATCTTTGATTTCTCCTTCCAGTGTCTAAATGACATCTTATGATTCTTTTTTTTTCTCAACATTTTATTTTTGTGCGTTTTTAAAAATTTTTATTTAATTTATTTTTGTTACAGATGTTTCTCCCCCCCGCCACTGTTTCCTCCCTTCCCCCCCCTCCCCGCCCTGTCCCCAGCTTTGTTGTCCATGTCCATTGTTCATGCACACATGCATTTAAGTTCTGTGGTTTATCTCTCCCCCACCACCCCCTCTTCTGGGGATTGTCAGTCTGTACCCCACTTCCATGTCTCTGGAACTACCCCATTCCTCAGACTGTTATGTTCATTATATTCCACAAATAAGTGAGATCATATGATACTTGTCTTTCTCTGTTTGGTTTGTTTCGCTTAGGATGACACTTTCCAGATCCCTCCATGTCGTCTCAAAGGATAAGAGATCTTTCTTTCAGCTGCATAGTATTCCATTGTGTATATGTACCACTGCTGTTTTATCCATTCGTCTACTGATGGACACTTGGGCTGTTTCCAGATCTTAGCTATTGTAAATAGTGCTGCTACGAACATGGGGGTACATATATTCTTTCTGATTGGTGTTTCAGGCTTCTTAGGGTATATTCCTAGAAGTGGGATCACTGGGTCAAATGGAAGTTCAATTTTTAATTTTTTAATTTTTTAAAAGTTTTTATTTTTTCTATCCTCACCCAAGGACATTTTTCCATTTTTTTTGTTCAGATAGAGTGGGAGGGAAAGAGAGGAGAGAGAGAGAAATGTCGATGTGAAAGTGACAAATCGAGTGGTTGCCACCTGCATGACCAACCAGGGCCGGTATATGCCCTTAGCGGGAACTGAACCCAGGTCTCTCTGGACCGCAGGCCGACGCTGTAACCGCTGAGCCAAACTGGCCGGGGCCAATTTTTAAAGTTTTGAGGTAACACCATTGTGTTTCCCATAGTGGCTGCACCAGTCTGCATTCCCACCAGCAGTGTACTAGAGTCCCCTTTTCTCCACACCCTCGCCAACACTTGTTGTTTGATGATCTTATGATCCTTTTAAAAGTATGTATTCAAAACCCAGGATGATGCCACTTCCGGACCCGGGAGATACCATGCTCACGAAGGTGGCTTCCCAGGGCGAGGCTTATCTGTTGCACTCCAGATGTGCAGACCCTGCAGTTGCCCCACGTGTGGGAAACCCGACTGCACGATTGATCATTTGTGGCAGTGGGGCCTGCATTTGTGTTCTCCCCAGAAAAAAACAGGGATGAGCGAACTTCTTCCTGAAAGGCCAGCTGGTGAAAAGGGTCAGTTTTGCAGTCTGTGCTCACTGTCACATCTCTTCAACTTTGCCATTGTAGCAGGAAAACGCCACAGGTGTGTGTACATGGATGAGCGTAGGTGTGTTCCAATAACATCTGACTGACAAAAACCAGGCAACATGCAAGGTTTGGCTCACAGACTGCAGTTTGCCAGCCCGTTGTCTAAACTAACAGCAAACGTTGTCATGCTTATTCACCCACGGTTAACATTCTTGCAGTATTGTGGAGACACAACCAGGAAGGAATCCATTTGTGACATCAGCTGTCAGTCAGCTCATCGGACCAGTGTGCGTAAGGAGCACCGCTGAAGGGTCTACCCTTTGGTATCCGTAATTTGTTCATTTTTAAAAATGAACTTTTAGAGAGAAAGGGGGAGGGAGAGAGAGATGTTCCACTTATTTTTTTATGCATTCATTGGTTCATTCTTATATGTGTCCTGACTGGGGATCGAACCCGCAACCTTGGCATATTGGGCAACGCTCTAACCAACCGAGCTCCTTGGCCAGGGCCCTCCACAATTTGTTCTTATTCAATAGAGCTGAAATGGAGATGATTCTTGGTTGATTTCTTTGCTGATTAATACCTGTTTGTTTGTTCATTTTTTTCCTTTTGGGGGGGTGGGGGAGAAGAGGAAGCAGGTGAGCACAGGCTTATTATTCCTTAATCTTCACTTCCCAATATAAAAAAAAATCTGATAACTAAATGACACGTTTATTTGGCGGCAAAACTACCTAAACTACTCTATTTATGGTCTTTTATTTATTCCATGTAGTGTGACTGTTCCGACACCTCGGTGCAGAGATACTAATGTGTTTTTTACAGGGAGTTGCTGCTGAGGGTATAATGTAATATACATGCACTGTACAACTTTTTTAAAAATCTGAACTATTCTGAATTCTGAAACTTGTCTCTTCCTATGGCTTTCAAAGAAGGGGTGGTGGGCTAGTGAGGTGCATTGAGTAGATGCAGATTTAAATCCAGGGCTGGCAAACTTTGGCATCAACACAGGCAGTGAGTCAAATTCAGTCCACTTCCCGCTTTTGTAAATCAAATTTTGATGACACACAGCCTTACCTACTTGTTTACATATTGTCTATGGCTGCTGTCCAGTGACCCAGGACAATGGAGCCTGAAGTTTGGACAGAGTCTGTGTGGTTACAAAGTGAAAAATAATTTGCTCTCTAGACTTTTACAAAAAGTCTACTGTCCCCTGAGTAAGCACATAAAGTCAGGCAAGTGTGAGCTAACTAGTTGTCAAGGCATGGCGGGAGATTTAAAACGTGAAATGGAAAATCGCTCTCTTTTTGACAAAATCACTGCCAGCCTCAGATTGTGCCAATTCATATCTTGTTTTGTATCTTTTTACATCAGTCTCTGCTTTCTTTTAACTCTCTTTGGGGATAGCTTGGCAGAACAGGAACCTAAAATTCTGTTGCTCTGATTCATGTATGTGAAGGAAAGACTTCAGTTCATAGGAGGCTGCTAGCTGGTGAAAAGGGTAGTGTGGTTGAATTATTAGAGATATATAGGAACCTTTCTTTTATCTTTTTGCACTTATCTTGAGGTAGAGCAGGAAGGAGAGAGGGAGGGAGGAAGAGAGAGAAACATCAGTGTGAGAGAGACACATCGACTGGCTGCCACCCACATGACCCCAACCAGGGCCGGGGACAAACTGCAACCGAGGTACGTGCCCTTAGTGAGAACCGAACCCGGGCCTCTCTGGTCCGCAGGCCAACGCTCCAACCACTGAGCCAAACCGGCCAGGGCTATAGGAGCCTTTCTTGAGAAGGGCAGGGCTTCTATTAATTATCATTCTCTTCCCTGTTTTAGATTCTGAAGCGTGTTCCCAACAGTGTGCTGTGGCTATTGCGGTTTCCTGCGGTGGGCGAACCTAATATCCAACAGTACGCACAGAACATGGGCCTCCCCCAGAACCGCATAATTTTCTCACCTGTCGCCCCTAAAGAGGAGCACGTCAGGAGAGGCCAGCTGGCTGATGTCTGCCTAGACACTCCACTCTGTAACGGCCACACCACAGGAATGGATGTCCTGTGGGCTGGGACACCCATGGTAACTATGCCAGGTGAGCTGCTGATAAATCATGGCAATCTTCCTTGTTCTTTCTAGAATCTCCTTTACGGGAGGTAATTCCAGGTGCCCTTGTGTCTCCTAGAAGCCACATTTGGGGGAGAATGATGAAAAGTAAGACTTGTTCTGAGCACTGGGCTCCAGTCTCCTCATCTGGGTTGTGTGGATACTTAACATGAATAACATTGATGATCACGTGCTATTTGCATTCTCGTGAGTAATTGTTATCTTCCCTGTTGCAGGAGAGACTCTTGCTTCTCGAGTTGCGGCTTCCCAGCTCACCTGTTTAGGTTGTCTTGAGCTTATTGCTAAAAATAGACAAGAATATGAAGACATAGCTGTGAAACTGGGCACCGATCTAGAATAGTAAGTAACTTGGCCATGAACAAATCCTATGATAAAGTAAGGGGAAGCAGGAAAGTGTAGGGAGAACATAGGTGCTATGAAATGAAGTAATAAAAGAAGGGTAATATAAAAGAAGCAAATCAGTTGTATGATCTCTGGATGGGAGGAGAACTTTCTAAACTTCCATAAATGAAGTGATAGATAGGTTTTACTCTGTAAAGAGTAAATGGCTGAATGAACATAACTCAAAAAAAATTAAAAGGCAAATGAGAGGAGAAAAATCTTTGTTTATGTCAACTATAAATAGCCTGGCTATATAAAGACTGAAGCACATTTACATTTAAACTCCCTTAATGGGGATTTTAACTTACAAGGAAATGACCATACAACTCACTGAAGTAGAAATGGAAGTTAAAATAACATTGAGGCATACCCGTTATATGCCTATAAAACAAAAGGTTTTTGATATGCTGCCTATGACGAGGGAGCATCGAGGTGCTGGCCTTTTTTTTTCATTTTTAAAATTTTTGTTACAGATGTTTCTCCTTTTTTACCCCATTGACACCCTCCTCCCCTTCCTCCCCGCCCTGTCCCTGGCTTTGTTGTCTGTGTCCATCAGTTATGCGTACATACATGTAAGTTCTGTGGTTTCTCTTCCTCCCCCCGAACCCCCTCTTCTGAGGGTTGTCAGTCTGTACCCCACTTCCACGTCTCTGGGTCTACCCTGTTCCTCCGGCTGTTATGTTCATTATATTCCACAAATAAGGGAGATCATGTGATACTTGTCTTTCTCTGCTTGGCTTGTTTCGCTTAAGATAATCCTCTCCAGGTCCTTCCATGTCATCTCAAAGGATAAGAGATCTTTCTTTCTTACAGCTGCATAGTATTTTCCACACACTGGTCAGTGGACTGATACACCCCTTCCTCAAAGTTTTAAGATCTTTAAAAAAAAAAAAGCCAGAGCTTTGACCCGAATAATGCCACCTCTTCACAAGAGCCCAAGAGGGGAAAAAGGCGTAACTTAAATGCCCTGACTGGGCAGGGGTTGGAGGGAGGACGCGCAAATGAGCGCTGTTCTGTCCAGGCGACGGGAAGTCGTGCTGGTAATTGAGGCTGCCCTTGTGCCTATGACTCCTTTTTTCCTTTGTGTTCCAAGAAGCATAGTGTATAGAAGTTTAAAGAGGCACTCTCTTTGAATCAAGTTGCCTGATGTGAGAGAGACACATCGATTGGTTGCCTCCCACATGACCCTGACTGGGGCCAGGCATTAAACCTGCAATCCAGGTACGTGCCCTGGACCATGAATGGAACCCGTGAACCCTTCAGTCCGTGGGCCGACGCTCTGACTGCTGAGCCCAACCTGCCAGGGCTGGGCGAATTCGCTTCTGCGTGCCTTGCTTTTTCCATCTGCAAAACAGGGATGAACGATAGTACCTACCTTGCAGAGATGTTCTGATGATTAAAAAAGGTGTTCTGTGTAAAACAACAGTTCTTGGTACGTAGTCAGCATTCAGCAGAGGTTAAGTATTTTCAAATTTTCTCCATTGAACATCATCTACATCTAAGGAAAAGGAGCAAAGATTTTGAGCCCTAGTGTTAAAAAAAAGTAAGATTCATGTCCGTCATCCCAGAGATAACTACAGCAAGTAATTTAGTGTCTTTTGTTTTTTGTTTTTTGACTTTTTGGAACTTAGTTGATTTCATACAATACTTTTTCTCATTACTTTGTAATGAAAACTATTAATTGTATAATAAACCCTAGATACCTGTCGTCTGGATTCCACCACTGACATTTGCTGTGCTTGCTGTCTGTCCACCTCTCTATTCTTTTCCATCCAGCAATCCATCTTATTTGATACATTTTGAAGTAGATTGCAGATAGATATCAGTACTCTTCTCCCTAAAAACTTCAGAATATGGGCATCATTAATTAGGGTTCAATATTTTTTTTGAGGCAGAATACACGAATACAGTACAATACGCAAATCTTACATTAGTTTTGCGAAATACCTTTATAACCCAAACCCCTAACAAGATACAGAACACTATCACTCCAGAAAGTTCCTTCATGCCTCTTATTCAGTCCTTCAACTACCCTCAGACAACCACTGTTCTGAATTTCCCCCCACCATCATTAAATTTACCTTAGACAAATGGAGCCATACAGTATGTACTCCTAAAGACTTCTTTCACTCAGCCTAATATTTTGAGATTCATCCATGTTGTTGGCTTGTATCAGTGTTCACTCATTTTTATTGCTAAGTAGTAGTTCTTGTATGGACGTACCATAGTCTAACCATTCTCGTGTTGGCATACAGAACTTAAAAAATCGAGCACACTGCCCATCTGGTGTGGCTCAGTGGCTGAGCATCAACTCATGCACCAGGAGATTGCCAGTTCGATTCCCGGTCAGGCCACATGCCTGAGTTTCTGGCTCAATTCCCAGTAGGGGATGTGCAGGAGGCAGCCAATCCATGTTTCTCACGTCGATGTTTCTGGCTCTTTCTCCCTCCCCCCCCCCCTCTCTTTTTTTTTTTTTGGTACGTGCCCTTAGTGGGAACCGAACCTGGGACTCTCTGGTCTGCAGGCCAATGCTCCGAACGCTGAGCCAAACCTGCCAGGGCTCTCTTCCTCTCTCTTAAAAAAATCATTAAAAAACAGATTAGCCCTGGCCAGTTTTGCTCAGCAGTTAGAGCGTTGGCCAGCGGACCAGAGAGTCCCGGGTTGGGTTTCCGCTAGTGGCATGTACCTCGGTTGCAGTTTGTCCCCGGCCCCGGTCAGGGTCATGTGGGTGGCAACTACTCCATGTGTCTCTCTCACGTCTATGTTTCTCTCTCTCTCTTTCCCCTCCTCTCCCTCCTGCTGTGTCTGAAGATAAATGCAAAAAAAATGTCCTCAGGTGAGGATTAAAAAATTAAAAAAGAAATAGAGCACAAACGTATTTTTATTTGGAAAGTAGCGTTAATATGGTCATAGTTGGGTTGAGGCCAGCAGAGAGAGAGAAGCACAGCCATTCACTAGTTACATCACAACAAACACTAAAGCCATTTTTTATCTTTATTTTTTCATTTTGTTTTTGTTGGTTCTTTTTTTTACGAATGTTCCTCAGTTGTAGTTGGCATCCAGTATTGTGTGTGCCTTAGCTATTGTCGGTGGTGCTTCGTGAGCATCATTGCGTGGCCAGGTGTCCGCAGCCCTGATGATCGCTTTCGAATAGATTTGAAAGTGTTTCTGACTGGCAGAGGGTTATGCAAACGGCAGGTTCTTATTACGCACATCACTGACTTGCTTACCAAAAGAGTAAGCAGTTCACATTCTAACCAGTGGTATGTAGGAGTAGTCATGTCAGATTTTAAAGGGAAAAATGAGATGAAATGGGGAAAGCGTGGTACCACTTGGATATACTTGTTCAAGAAAGAACCAAAGTTTTTCAGAGGATGCGACCGCCGATTGATTATGTGTTAGCATTGTGCTAGGTGTGACCCTCTCCTTTTTCTGCATTGAGGTGAGATGAAGTTTCGTCCTGTCTTTTACCAAAGATGACTAGGTATTCAGGGGAGCTAGTTCTGGGTTTCTGCTCTGTGTGTAAACTTGGCTCCCTCTCTCTCTCTCTCTCGAAATTAGCCTGAAGAAAATTCGTGGCAAAGTCTGGAAGCAGAGAATATCTAGCCCTCTGTTCAACACCAAACAGTACACAATGGAACTAGAGCGGCTCTATCTACAGATGTGGGAGCATTATGCAGCTGGCAACAAACCCGATCACATGATTAAGCCTGTCGAGGTCACTGAGTCGGCCTAATGACGGTGCACGCAGGAGAATGACCCCTCTACCTGAGCCTCAACCTTCAGGAAAGGGAACTCGAAAATGTGCTTCTTACTTCCCTGTATAGTATGTTGCAGATGGGTGACAAATAGTGATAATAGAATAGCACAGCCAGAGTTGCTTCGTGCATGATAGGAAGAGACACAGGAGATGGGAAACTGCTGTTCTCCACGGAATCGCCCCCGAATTTGGCAGCAACCCGACGGTGCATAGATCTGGAAGGTCTGCTCTCCCTTGGTCTTCATGGGATGGTCAGTGCGGAGGGGACACCCAGATTGTCCGGCTGTTTTGATTCCATTGCTTGATCGAGTCTTCGGGATTAATTTTTTCTTTATATTTTGGGTATTGGAGCTTTTAAAAATGTTTGGTTTCAGGTGATTTTATTCATGTGAAGTGTATATGATTCTCTTGAGATAAGGCTTTAAGCTAAAATGTTGCTCTTTGTTTTAGTTTCTGAACTCTACAGATTAATGGGAACTTCACTGGTGTAGTCTTTTTATAGGTTTTATAAACCACTTGAGCCTATATCAGTCGTTTGAGTGTCCGACGTAATGATTGGAGCTATCAGTACTTTTTTGATTTAGATGATGATTCTAATTTTTTTTTCTGGTCCATTTCCTTCCCCTCCCCCTACTTTAAACTTTCTCCTGTAACTCAGCTAACAAAACCAAGTCTGATTCAAAACATCCCAGAGTGTTTCTCTAAAACACATCATCCAGTGCCAAATGACAATTTTAGGAATAATGTTAATCATGAAGGGCAGAGTTGTACTGTCATTGACCATAATGCGGATTTTTGGGGCCTAGTTTTGATCTATCTCACCAATGTTTTCCCTCCGGCTGCCCCTCTATGCTGCTTCCCGAGTGATAGTGTGCGATAAGGTTCTGACCTTCCTTTCTAAGGTTTGTGTTTTCTTTTAAGTGAGTCCTGTTCTTCCCATTTCTGTCAGCAGAAATGAAATCCCAGGTAAGTATAAGTATTCAAATATTTGCTCACTCAGTTAAAGTTATTGCGAATACGTTAAATAACTTTAATCCAAAACATGTTATAGGTAAAAAGCTCTGAAGGACCAGGACCAGCTGTGTCTATGAATAATTCTTTTTCAGGCCTTCTAGGGTATTAAATACTAACTGTCTTCTGGACTTGGTCTTGAAGTGTGTGGATTCAGCCTTAGCAGTAGCCAGCTGCGCTGCTAGTTGATGTGGAATACAAATTAGACTTCAGGCCATCTGGAGCTTGAGTTCTTGCTATTAAAGATCATAGGAATAAAATGAGTGCATTTCAACACATGATGGAGGACTTGAGGCTTAAACAAACCAACATATGAACATATGTTTTGTCTTGCTGTGCTGCACTCCCGCTACCCAGTGACAGTAACAGGTCATTTTTGTCTGCTAGTAGTGTCCTAGATTAGAGTGTCTTCCCAAAGCACCAAGGCAGCGTGCTCCTTCTGTAGTCGCAGCTGATGCCTGAATGTATCCTAGCTGACAAATTCTCGATTAATAAGAACTTGAATTTCTGAAAGTCTTACTGTTAACCAAAATCTGAGCAAGGAGTCTCAAATGTAACTTTTAGCCAGAATTATGTGTCGATGAACTGTGTATCTTTTAACAGTGTAAATCAAGGAACATCAGTTTAGGGATTTCTTAATTTATTTTTTACCTGATTGAAATATTAAAGGTCGCCGGCATGGTTGCAGCTAAACTGATGTCTGGAATTCACCAAACTACTTAATGTGGATTAGAAAGATATACTTCTAGTGCCCTCGAGGCTGTGCTCTGACAGCCGTTTTACATAGCACATCGTTCCTCCGATAGGGATGAACTTTTTCCTGGCACGAAAGTAGCCGCTCTGGTTAAAGCTTTGCTCGTTGTAACAGGCTTTGGTTTCCGGGTTACATGTCTATGGAAAACTTAATTATGAATAGAGATATTGATATTACTGGAAACTAATTGTTTTTTCTATTATGCTCTGCTTTATCAAAAAAAGTAAAACATTTAAATTGTGCTAAGGAAATCAGATGTTGTCTTGTGATCTTTAAATAATAAACGAATGATTTGCCCTTACTATGGCTGATGTCGTTTGTGTTCTGTTAGATTGAGTGTTAAACAGAATAATCCGGCCATCCGGTGATGACACCCGCATCTGAACAGCTCCTAACTACAAAGGACCAGATTTCTCGGGGGCAGCTATGAGATTAAGGATTATTTTGTTCTCAGCCCAGTGTGCTAGAGGGTGGGGTTGGCACATGACCCTTGAAGACGACAAAGCCTGCGTCTCCCAGCACACCCGATCGCGCGTGTTCCTGTTTGCTCAGGACTGCTGCGGCCTCACTACCCTGTGGTCTTGTTCCTCACACAGATTCCTTCGTTTCCTAAAAGGTAGTGGGGAGAGAAAGGTGTCCGGTAGGCTGCTCCGGAAAGTTCTTACCCCTACCCGCCCTACTCTGTTTGTTCGGAGTCTGCATCAATTATTAAAGGAATTGCTTGTGAGTGCAAACCCTGCCTACTTTTATTTTTTTTATAAATATATTTAAATTTATTTTATAGAGTGAGCGAGAAACATCCATCTGCTGCCTCCTGCACACCCCCTATTGGGGATCGAGCCCACATCCCCGGCATGTACCCTGATGGGGAATCGAACCAGGACCACTCAGTCCATAGGACAGTGCTCAATCCACTGAGCCACACCTGCCCAGTGGCCTACTTTTTAATGTTGTTTTTTTTTTTTTCAATTGACACTTTTTTAAGAGGAAGGGAGAGAGAGAGAGAGAAACATCGATCGGCTGCCTCCTGAGGTCCCTACTGGGGATCGAGCCTGCAACCCGGGCATGTGCCCTGACCGGGAATCAAACCGGGACCTCAGTCCATGCGAAGACATTGAATCCACTGGGCCACACCGGACAGACAACTTCCTACCTTTTAAAGGGTTGTAAGGATTAAATCGACACAAAACACATGGAACAGTACCTAGCATGAAATAAACTCGGTTATTAATATCTTTAAATGCAGGGACGTGTTCTTTGTATTCTGTTGGCCAAACGGTTGAATTCTGAAATGTATGGGTGTCTGCCAGAGGATCCAGCACAGTCTAGAAAGCATTTCCCTGTTTGTTTTTCTCGGTGTGTTTGGAGCGAGTGCCAAAAAGCCTCAAGTAGCCAACCTCTCTTTATCTCCTGGGTTGAAAGGTTTTGGAAGGAAACATCAGTGTTGCCAAGCACTGTTGGGTTGCTGCTTTGCTCTTATCTAGGGATGTAGGTGCCCCCCCCCCCGCCAGCTTGGAGGACTTTGAGGGGCACGCAAACAGCCCTTGAGGTTTGGGCAGTTCGAGCAAGGAAAACGGAACAGGGCTCACTTATCTAAGTCCTCACAAGGCTGGAACTTTGGGAGGATTCGGGTCAGTTTTCTGTCACCCAAAAAGTTAGTTTAGGGATTGCCAAGCTACAAACTCAGGAAATGGGCTTTCAGGACAGATGAACAATACCCCTGGAGGTGATAGGCTTCATCCGGGAATCTGTACAGCCAGGTGTCAAATATCTGTAGCCGCGAATTTTAAATCTGCCTCACAACCAGGCTGTGATAGATGGGCACAGGGAGGGCTGTGATAGGTGGGCACTGAGAGGGTGGGAACACGGCTCCTACCTTCCACTGAGCTGGGACTGTGTAAAAGATGATGGCGCCTGCTGGCAAACCCCGTGGTTTCTCAGGATCTCCCCCTCTGAGGAGGTGGGAGCTGAGTGGCAATTGGCCACTCCAGAGGTGGCAGAAGCAGGTAGATGACAAGGGGTTGAGGTGGGGACTGAAGCAGGCACAGTCTTGATAACTCATTGTAGTTGAGCAGACTTAATTCAGGATGCCCTATGCCTTGGACACTGATTGTCCACGAACCTTGGGACTGAGATTCTGCTAAAATGTTTAGCCTGTTTCCACTTTTAAAAAAGGGCTTTCAGAAGAAATGTTTTTTTTTCTTTCTTTTGTTAGTGTTATTAACTCTGCTAAATCAAAGATGGGGAATGGGGGGCATGGAGGTCGCACTGGAGGCATGAGGGAGTAGAGGTCTGGGAGGTGGTGTGAGGTTGTGGGAGCATCTAGGGCTGAATGGTGGAAGAACTGCTGGTGTGAGACGTGAGTGGGGGTGGACGTGGAGGGCGCGTGGGGGTAGTGGATGCCTGTGGAGGGCCAGCTGGCTGGCTGGCTGGTTAAGGTGGGAATAGGGAATGGAAGTGGGGGCAGGTGGGTGGAGGTTGATGCCAGATTTGGTTGAGGGCAACAGGCGGGTGTGAGGGGGGCATGAGTGAAGGAGTCGAGGCCTGATTGGTGGGAAGCAAGAGTGGGGGAGGGGTGAAGGCCTGAGGAGCAGAGCTAGGATGGGCGGGGTGAGTGGAGGAGTCCAGGTGTGATTGGCTGGAGGTGGGAAGCGGGAATGGGAGGAGGAGTATAATTCTGCAGGCATAAGACATCCATCCTCAGGAGAAGAGTCGGGAGGGGCAGGGTGAGTGGAAGACTCGAGGCCTAATTGGCTGTAGGCGGGGAGTGGAAGTGCGGGAGGGATTTAGTCCTGGAGGTATAAGACCGCCTGAAGAGAAGTGGTAAGACCTCCTGAGGACAAGAGGTGGGATGAGGGGGAACAGGGATATGGCTGGGTGTGGGTCTGGGTGTGAGTGTAGGCGTCCAGGCCTGAGGTGGGAGTGGGGGAAGGGGTGAAGTCCTGCAGGTGTAAGACCTGCTGAGAAGAGGAAGGAGGGGGGCTGCACAGGATGAATGGAGGAGTCAAGGCCGGTTTAGTGGGTGTCAGGAACTGGGAATGGGGGAAGGGGTGAAGTCCTGTCAGTGTAAGACCTCCTAAGGAGCAGAGGGGGCAGGCGGGGGCAGGGCAGATTGAGTGGAGAAATGGAGGCCTGTTTGGTGGGCGGGCGGTGTGGGGGGAGGGGTGAAGACCTGTCTGGTGTATGACATCTGGAAAAGAGTTGAAAGGGGGAGGAGGGGAAGGGCGGGTGAGTGGAGGAATCAAGGCCTGATTGGCTGCTGGCTTGGCGAAAATGGGGGAGGGTTTTAGGCCTGGAGGTATAAGACCTCCAGAGGAGAAGAGTTGGGATACGGGGCACAGGGTTATGGCGGGGTGTGGGGGCGGGTGTGAGTGAAGGCGTCCAGGCCTGAGGTGAGAGTGGGGGAAGGAGTGTGGGCCTGCCAGTGTAGGACCTCCTGAGGAGCAGAAGCGGGCGGGGGGCTGGGCAGGGTGAGTGGAGGAGTTGAGACCTGGTTGGCAGGGAAGTAGAAGTGGGGGATGGGGTGTAGGGCAGCCCATGTAAGAACTGCTGAGACAGGTTGGGAGGGGTGCGGGGCGGGGTGAGTGGAAGACTCGAGGCCTGATTGGCTGGAAGCGAGAAATAGAAGTGGGAGGAGGGGTGAGTGGAGGACTCGAGGCCTGATTGGCTGCGGGCCGGTGGAAATGTGGGCGGGATTTAGGTCTGGAGGTATAAGACCTGAGGAGAAGAAGCGGTAAGTCCTCTAGAGGAGAAGAGGTGGGAACGGGGCACACAGGTTTGGCGGGGTGTGGGGGCGGGTGTGAATGAAGGCGTCCAGGCCTGAGCTGAAAGTGGGGGAAGGAGTGTGGGCCTGCCAGTGTAGGACCTCCTGAGGAGCAGAGGCGGCGGGGGGCTGGGCAGGGTGAGTGGAGGAGTTCACGCAGGTTTGGCGCAGGGCACGAAACTGGAGTGTGGGGAGGGGTGAAGTCTTGCCGGTGTAAAACCTGAGGAGAAGAGGTGGCATGGGGGGCAGGGCGGGGTGAAGGGAGCAGTAGAGGCCAGTTTGGCGGGTGGTGGACAACTGGACTGGGGCGAGGGGTGTAGGCCTGCCCCTGTAAAACCTGAGGAGAATTTCGAGGGGCGGGGTGAGTGGAGGAGTGGAGACATGGTTGGCGGGAGGTGGGAATTAGAAGTGGGGGATGGGGTGTAGGCCATCCCATGTAAGAACTATGGAGAAGAGGTAGGAGGGGTGCAGGGTGGAGTGAGTGGAGGAGTCGAGACTTGGTTGGCGGGAGGCGGGAACTAGAAGTGGGGGATGGGGTGTAGGCCCTCCCATGTAAGAACTACAGAGAAGAGTTAGGAGGGGTGCAGGGCGGGGTGAGTGGAGGAGTCGAGATGTAGTTGGCGGGAGGCGGGAACTAGAAGTGGGGGATGCGGTGTAGGCCCTCCCATGTAAGAACTACAGAGAAGAGTTAGGAGGGGTGCAGGGCGGGGTGAGTGGAGGAGTCGAGATGTAGTTGGCGGGAGGCGGGAACTAGAAGTGGGGGATGGGGTGTAGGCCCTCCCATGTAAGAACTACAGAGAAGAGTTAGGAGGGGGTGCAGGGCGGGGGGAGTGGAGGAGTCGAGATGTAGTTGGCGGGAGGCGGGAACTAGAAGTGGGGGATGGGGTGTAGGCCCTCCCATGTAAGAACTACAGAGAAGAGTTAGGAGGGGTGCAGGGCGGGGTGAGTGGAGGAGTCGAGATGTAGTTGGCGGGAGGCGGGAACTAGAAGTGGGGGATGCGGTGTAGGCCCTCCCATGTAAGAACTACAGAGAAGAGTTAGGAGGGGTGCAGGGCGGGGTGAGTGGAGGAGTCGAGATGTAGTTGGCGGGAGGCGGGAACTAGAAGTGGGGGATGCGGTGTAGGCCCTCCCATGTAAGAACTACAGAGAAGAGTTAGGAGGGGTGCAGGGCGGGGTGAGTGGAGGAGTCGAGATGTAGTTGGCGGGAGGCGGGGAACTAGAAGTGGGGGATGGGGTGTAGGCCCTCCCATGTAAGAACTACAGAGAAGAGTTAGGAGGGGTGCAGGGCGGGGTGAGTGGAGGAGTCGAGATGTAGTTGGCGGGAGGCGGGAACTAGAAGTGGGGGATGGGGTGTAGGCCCTCCCATGTAAGAACTACAGAGAAGAGTTAGGAGGGGTGCAGGGCGGGGTGAGTGGAGGAGTCGAGATGTAGTTGGCGGGAGGCGGGAACTAGAAGTGGGGGATGCGGTGTAGGCCCTCCCATGTAAGAACTACAGAGAAGAGTTAGGAGGGGTGCAGGGCGGGGTGAGTGGAGGAGTCGAGATGTAGTTGGCGGGAGGCGGGAACTAGAAGTGGGGGATGCGGTGTAGGCCCTCCCATGTAAGAACTACAGAGAAGAGTTAGGAGGGGTGCAGGGCGGGGTGAGTGGAGGAGTCGAGATGTAGTTGGCGGGAGGCGGGAACTAGAAGTGGGGGATGCGGTGTAGGCCCTCCCATGTAAGAACTACAGAGAAGAGTTAGGAGGGGTGCAGGGCGGGGTGAGTGGAGGAGTCGAGATGTAGTTGGCGGGAGGCGGGAACTAGAAGTGGGGGATGGGGTGTAGGCCCTCCCATGTAAGAACTACAGAGAAGAGTTAGGAGGGGTGCAGGGCGGGGTGAGTGGAGGAGTCGAGATGTAGTTGGCGGGAGGCGGGAACTAGAAGTGGGGGATGCGGTGTAGGCCCTCCCATGTAAGAACTACGCAGAAGAGTTGGGAGGGGTGAGTGGAGGAGTCGAGACCTGGGTAGTGGGAGGCAGGAAGTAGAAGTGGGGGATGGGGTGTAGGCCAGCCCATGTAAGAACTGCTGAGACGGGTTGGGAGGGGTGCGGGGCGGGGTGAGTGGAGGACTCGAGGCCTGATTGGCTGGAGGCAGGAAATAGAAGTGGGAGGAGGGGTGAGTGGAGGACTCGAGGCCTGATTGGCTGCGGGCCGGTGGAAATGTGGGCGGGATTTAGGTCTGGAGGTATAAGACCTGAGGAGAAGCGGTAAGTCCTCCAGAGGAGAAGAGGTGGGAACGGGGCGCACAGGTATGGCGGGGTGTGGGGGCGGGTGTGAGTGAAGGCGTCCAGGCCTGAGGTGAGAGTGGGGGAAGGAGTGTGGGCCTGCCAGTGTAGGACCTCCTGAGGAGCAGAGGCGGCGGGGGGCTGGGCAGGATGAGTGGAGGAGTTCACGCAGGTTTGGCGCAGGGCACGAAACGGGAGTGTGGGGAGGGGTGAAGTCTTGCCGGTGTAAAACCTGAGGAGAAGAGGTGGCATGGGGGGCAGGGCGGGGTGAAGGGAGCAGTAGAGACCAGTTTGGCGGGTGGTGGACAACTGGACTGGGGCGAGGGGTGTAGGCCTGCCCCTGTAAAACCTGAAGAGAGTTTCGAGGGGCGGGGTGAGTGGAGACCTGGTTGGCGGGAGGCAGGAACTAGAGGTGGGGGATGGGGTGTAGGTCATCCCTTGTAAGAACTATGGAGAAGAGATAGGAGGGGTGCAGGGCGGGGAGAATGGAGGAGTCGAGACTTGGTTGGCGGGGGCGGGAACTAGAAGTGGGGGATGGGGTGTAGGCCCTCCCATGTAAGAACTACGCATAAGAGTTGGGAGGGGTGAGTGGAGAAGTCCAGACGTGGTTGGCGGGAGGCGGGAACTGAAGTGGGGGATGGGGTGTAGGCCAGCCAATGTAAGAACTACGCAGAAGAGTTGGGAGGGGTGAGTCGTGAGTGGAGGAGTGGAGACCTGGGTAGTGGGAGGCAGGAAGTAAAAGTGGGGGATGGGGTGTAGGCCAGCCCATGTAAGAAGTGCTGAGACAGGTTGGGAGGGGTATGGGGCGGGGTGAGTGGAGGACTCGAAGCCTTATTGGCTGGAAGCGGGAAATAGAAGTGGGAGGGGGAGGTGAGTGGAGGACTCGAGGCCTGATTGGCTGGAGGCAGGAAATAGAAGTGGGAGGAGGGGGTGAGTGGAGGACTCGAGGCCTGATTGGCTGCGGGCCGGTGGAAATGTGGGCGGGATTTAGGTCTGGAGGTATAAGACCTGAGGAGAAGAAGCGGTAAGTCCTCCAGAGGAGAAGAGGTGGGAACGGGGCACACAGGTATGGCGGGGTGTGGGGGCGGGTGTGAATGAAGGCGTCCAGGCCTGAGGTGAGAGTGGGGGAAGGAGTGTGGGCCTGCCAGTGTAGGACCTCCTGAGGAGCAGAGGCGGCGGGGGGCTGGGCAGGATGAGTGGAGGAGTTCACGCAGGTTTGGCGCAGGGCACGAAACGGGAGTGTGGGGAGGGGTGAAGTCTTGCCGGTGTAAAACCTGAGGAGAAAAGGTGGCATGGTGGGCAGGGCGGGGTGAAGGGAGCAGTAAAGGCCAGTTTGGCAGGAGGGCGAGGGGTGTAGGCCTGTCCCTGTAAAAGCTGAGGAGAGTTTCGAGGGGCGGGTGAGTGTAGACCTGGTTGGCGGGAGGCGGGAACTAGAGGTGGGGGATGGGGTGTAGGCCATCTCATGTAAGAACTATGGAGAAGAGATAGGAGGGGTGCTGGGCGGGAAGAATGGAGGAGTCGAGACCTGGTTGTTGGGGGGGGCAGGGCAGGAAGTAGAAGTGTGGGATGGGGTGTAGGCCATCCCATGTAAGAACTACGGAGAAGAGTTAGTAGGGGTGTAGAGCGAGGTGAGTGGAGGAGTCGAGACCTGGTTGGGAGTGGCGGAAAGTATAAGTGGGGTATGGGGTGTTGGCCCTCCCATGTAAGAACTACGGAGAAGAGTTAGGAGGGGTACGGGGTGGGGTGAGTGGAGGAGTGGAGACCTGGTTGGTGGGAGGCGGGAACTAGAGGTGGGGGATGGGGTGTAGGCCATCCCATGTAAGAACTATGGAGAAGAGATAGGAGGGGTGCAGGGCAGGGAGAACGGAGGAGTCGAGACCTGGTTGGCGGGGTGTGGAGGGGGCGGGATGTAGAAGTGGGCGATGGGGTGTAGGCCATCCCACGTTAAGAACTATGGAGAAGAGATAGGAGGGGTGCAGTGCGGGGAGAGTGGAGGAGTTGAGACCTGGTTGGCGAGCGGCGGGAAGTAGAGGTGGGGGATGGGGTGTAGGCCATCCCACGTAAGAACTATGAAGAAGAGTAGGAGGGGTGTGGGGCGGGGTGAGTGGAGGAGTGGAGACCTGATTGGCAGAGGTGAGAACTAAAGTGGGGGATGGGGTGTAGGCCATCCCATGTAAGAACTATTGAGAGGAGTTAGGAGGGGTTTTGGGCGGGGAGAGTGGAGGAGTCGAAGCCTTATTGGCTGGAGGCCGGAAGTGGAAGGGGGTGGGAGCGGTGTAGGTCATCCCATGTAAGAACTACTGAGAAAAGTTGGGAGGGGTGGGTGAGTGAAGGAGTGGAGATCTGATTGGTGGGAGTGGGAAAGGGGTAAGGCCTGTTAGTGTAAGAGCTGAAGAGCAGAATCAGGAGGGGCGGAGTGAGGGGCTGATGGCAGGACTTGATGCCTGATTGGCTGCAGGCAGAAGTGGGAGAGGGATTTAGGTCTGGAGGTATAAGACCTGAGAAGAAGCTATAAGACCATCAGAGGAGAAGAGTTGGGGGGGCACAGTGGGGTTAGTGGAGGAGTGAGGCCAGTTTGGCAGGAACTGGGAAGCAGGAGTGAGGGAAGAGGGGGGGCAGGGGATAGTAAGTGGAGGAGTGGAGGTCTGTTTGGTGGGAGTGGGGGAGGGTTTAGGCCTGCAGGTATATGTCCTCCTGAGGAGAAGAGGTGGATGGGGGACTCAGGAGTATGGTGGGGGAGCAGATGTGAGAGGAGGTGTCCAGGCCTAAGGCAGGAGTGGGGGACGGGTGAAGTCCCATTGGTGAAAGACATCCTGAAGAGAGGAGGCAGGAAAGGGGACTTGGAGGGGTTTGAGAGGAGTCGTCAAGGCCTGTTTGGCTGGCAGTGGGAAGCTGGAGTTGGAGGGTGGTATAAACCTGCTGGTGTAAGACATCCTCAGGAAAAGAGGTGGGATGGGGAATGTGGGGAGGGCACAGAAGTGGGTGAGTGGAGGAGTAGAGGCCAGGAGAAGGCCAGGATCATGGGGGTGTGGGTCATGGGCGAGGTGAGCAGTGAATTGAGGCCTGAGTGGTGAAGGCTGGTTGGGGCAGATGGCAGGAGTAGGAAGATGGAGGTGTGGAGGGATGGTGGCCTGATTGGGATAAAACCAGCAGGAGGTTGGATGGGGCTTGGGAGAGAGGTGGTTGGAGAGAGATGTGTGAGGTGTGTGGTGGCCTGGTCTGTGTAAGACTAGCTGGGAGCAGGAGTAGGGAGGTGGAGAGATGGGTGAGGATAGAGGGTTTGAAGCTGGATAGGTAGACTTCCTTGAGGTGTGAGGTGGGAGTAAGGGGAGTGAAGGCAGTGGGGGAGTGGAGGGGCAGGTTTGGAGGGTAGGAAATTCGGGGAAAGAGAGCACTGGGCAGGAGACTGAGTAGGAGTAATGCATGCTAAAACCTTACAACATGGAGAAAAGTTTTCTGGTTGCTCATGAACAAATGCTTGTCCTTGCACATCCCCATAGCACATGGGTGTTGTGATTTCACAGGAGGTGCCTTGGACTTTCTGATTGATGGGGGCAAAGTGGGAGAAGGGTGTGTACCTACTCCTCGTCTATAGTTTTCTACATCCAGGCAGTCTGCAGCAAGGACATTTAAATACTTCTCATTTCACAGAGCTAAGTTTTGCTTTTATTTATTTAATTTTTTTTTTATCCTCATGCGAAGACATTTTTGCATTTATCTTCAGGTAGAGCAGAAGGGAGAGAAGGAGGAAGAGAAAGAGAGAAACATTGACGTGATAGACACATGGACTGGCTGTCACCCACACAGCCCCACCCGGGGCTGGGGACAAACTACAACCAAGGTACGTGCCCTTAGTGGGAACTGAACCCGGGTCTCTCTGGTCCACGGGCCAATGCTCCAACTGCTGAGCCAAATCGACCAGGGCCAAAGTTTTGCTTTTAAATTAGGGTGAAGAAACTGCTGAGAGATGATTGCACAATGTAGAAACGTGTTCTTGTTTCTGGTTTTCTTAAAAAAGTATATCTTTGTCTTGACCACAGGTGAGGACGTGTCCAAAGGAGAGGCCGGCCAGCTGAACATTCATGATGATGATTGGTGAGGTTTGAAAAATGCTGTTTTCTTTTAGTTTAGTCCTAGTTTGTTGGCAAAACGACTTTCTTAAAAAGGACATATTTGTTTTATTTAGAGTCTGTAGAGTGTATAACTTCATTATAAAATGAGAAGTATGAAAAAGGATCTTAGAATCGTAGGAGCCCAGCCTCCTACCCAGTGTGTTACTCCTCTGTTTGACATCTCTGTTAGCGGCCAGGAATGTACAGCTTCATTCAGTAACACAGTGGAACAGCTGAGCCTCTGCGATGTAAGATAGAGACATAGAAACAGGCGATCACAGTGTGATTCAGTGCTGTGATGGGGGAGAAATACACTGTCCTATAGGAGGGCAGACATTATCTTATTTCATTTGCACAGTAGCCCTATGAGAGAAACAGTTCTTTTACAACCGAGGCCCAAGAACTGGATTCGCGGAAGTTGGGTGAGAAGTGACGGTAGCTTAGAGTAGGGTGGTAATAGTGGAGCTGGAGAGATTTGGATGAATGTCGGATATATTGTAGTACATCCATTCTGAGACATTTTTTTCACATTTCAACATTTCTGAAATTGGAATACATTATATAGTTGATAGCATGTCATCAGTTGGTAGTGTTTTTTTCTTTCTTAGAGGTACATATAGTGATGTTTGAGATTAGATGCAGTTGACTCTGGAGGTAGAGACAGCAGGTCTTGCTGATGGATTGGATGTGGGAAGTGAGAGAAGGAGATGACTCCTAAGTGTTTGGTCTCTGTTACTGGGTGGACGGATGGTGGTGCCATTGACTGAGATGGGTAAGACTGGTATAGGAACAGGACTGAGGGAGGAAATCAAGAGTTCTGTCTTGGCCATGTTATGTTCTAAATACCTAGTAATGCCCAAGATGGTACACGTATAGCTGGGGTTCAGTGCAGAGTTCAAGACTAGAAATATAAAACTGGGGGGACATGGGGTCTAGGGATAGTAGTACCAATGATCCAGAGAGAGAGACAGTAATGCAGTACAGAAAATTGCAGGAATAAACTTCTTGAGAAGGCCAGGGTGGAGGAGATTGAAAGTACAAGGGAGGACCTGGCCTTAGATATTGGTAGGGACACTACTCTCTTGCGGAGGATAGAGAAGGCAGAGTCGGGTGTAGTTAAGGCGAGGACGGTAGATTTGTTGGTGGGAGGATGAGGGCATTCCTGTCTGCTTCTATTTTCCCAGTGACTCGTGAGACAAGGTTGTTAACGGAGTGAAGGGGTTCTGGCAGTTTGAAAGCAGAAGTACTAATGAAGTACATAATGCAAAGGCTGGGGGACTGGTTTTAATTGGTCAAAGCCTAATTAGTACTTCCCTCTTTTTTAAATTTTTTTTTCTTTTTTTATTGATTTTTAGAGAGAGGGAGGGAGAGAGAGATAGAAACATTGATGAGAGAGAACATCGATTGGTCACCTCCTGCGTGCCCCCCACTGGGGATTGGGCCCACATCCTGGGCATGTGTCCTGACTGGGAATTGAACTGGTGACCTCTTGGCGCATGGGTCGATGCTCAACTACTGAGCCACACCAGCCAGACAGTACTTTCTTCTTTAGCCAGCATGTATCTTGAAAGACTGAAATAGTATACAGTCAGTCTGGTGATCAACCTCAAGGCTAAAATAAAAGTCATCAAGAAGTGGTTAAACCCTGGCCAGTTTGGCTCAGCAGTCAGAGCATTGGCCTGTGGACCAGAGAGTCCCGGGTTTGGTTCCCACTAGGGGCATGTACCAAAAAAAAAAAAAAAAGTGGTTACGGCTACATCTTTATATGTAAAACCTTGTAACTATTATGTAAAACCATATAAATATCTGCTTTTATGTTCACTTTCTTTCACACGTTTGGTCCCCTCTGTGAGCCCTGTCACAATAACTAATGGTAAGATGACCTGTGGTTAGATCCTGGGATGTAGCCAGTTTCAGCACCGAAGTGATGCCTATTGCAGCATGACCTGTCCATGCTGGATTGTGGATCTGTACCGGGCGTGGCTGACAATGGATGCGATAGCTCATCAAGGCAGGACGTGCTCACCTCAGGCCACCACAGGGCAGGGCAGATGAGCACAAGGGCCCCGCAAATTGTGAGGCGGAGAACAAGAGGCCCTAACTAACATCATGGCTCAGCTGCAGCTTTGAAATCACCCATCGTTTGCTCCCCAGGAAACAGACTCCAGCACTTGTCTGTTACCTAGACAGCGGTCGCAATAAGCAGCTCTGTTCAAGCAGTCAAGGCTCAAGAGATGTCCTCCTTGCTGGTCCCCCCCCCTTTTCATTTTTAACTGTATTCTCTTCATCTTTAAGTTCTTTCCCCTGTGGCTCCTTTCTCAGAATTCACTTTAATATCTTTAAATAGAAAGAAATCATTTGGCAGAAGACAGGCTTCTCACTGATAGCTAATGATACTCCACTACCATTCTTCCCCTGTCTTTGATTCTGCAGTCCAGACTGAGTTGCTTCGAATTTTTCTACTCTCTTCTGTTGTGATCCTAATGTCATAAGCCTTTAAAACCGTTTGCATTTCAGAAACTCTGATGGGGCGGGGGAGTTCTCTTCATTTGAGATTTTTGATATTTGGTTTCTTATGCCTTCTTTTATCTAAATTAGTGTGTATTTTATTTTTGTAGTAGCATTCTTACTGTGGACTCCAGCAGCGATGAAGAATTTGAGCCCTGTAAGTACAGTTTATTCAAAGCAGTAATTTACACTTTAAAGTGTTTTTGACCATGTCTTTGTAGAGATGACTGAAAGACTGAAATGTGATTTGGGACATTGGATGTGAGCTGGTCCCGGGTTTGTCTCTTTTAGGGCTCTCTCTAGATTGGGGACACAAAGTGAAGGTCCTTGCTGTTAAGAGCAGAGGGAGCTCTTTTTCTCATTTGCTTCCTTTACCTTGTTCATTCTAGATCTCCTTACTCTTATTTCCTCTCTGCCCCTCACAGGAAATCTAAAAGTCCACCATCGATTTTAGCCAGTTCCAATTTGTGGACTTTGGTTTTAGGGGGTTAAAAACATGGGTCGCCAGATTTCATCACGATTCGGATGCTTTCTGATGGCCTCTTTCTCTCTCTGATTTAGGTGTGACCAGAATGAACACTCAGAATGGGAACTCGGAGTAAGTAGGAGAATTAGTGAAATTTGACTTTTTAAAAAATCTTCACCTAAAGATATGATTATTGATTTTAGAGAGAAGGGGAGGGGTGAGAGAGAGAGGAAGAAAGAGAGAAACATTGATGTGAAAGAGAACGTCAGTTAGTTGCCTCTGTATGTGCCCTGACGGGGCATGGAACCCCTGAAACCTTCCGGTGTACAGGACAATGCTCCAACAACTGAGCCACACTGGCCAGGGCAAATTTAACATTTTTTAAAGAACAGTGTTTTGGGTCAAAAGATTTGAGAATGGACATCACTTTTCCTCTGTGAACACCATGTTCATGATCTTAATGAGTGCTTGATCTCACAACCAGGTTCAAAATACTAGGTTCCTTAATTCTGGCCCATTTTCTAAGTAATCAGATTCTTCTTCATAACGTCTCCATGAACCATCTCCTAACTTTCACCCTCCACTGCACAGGCCCTGCTCAGTCACTCTTGTGTTAATGCAAGAGTGTTTTTTCAGTGGTTCCTCCCCTTGATCTCTTCTTCCTCTGATCCAGTCTGCATCTCACTTCCAGATTCATCTCCAGAGGCTTGGCTTTGGCCATAGTGATCCCCTATTTCAATTACTCGTCATAGGAGAATCAAGCTGTCCAGCCCGGTTGTTCAAGCCCTCTGTGGTCGGATCCCCTCCTATCTCTCAGCATCATCTTCTACTATTCCCATTAATGAGCTCTCTGCAGGTGCCAAAGTAGAGGAGATGCTAAAATAATTACTGGAACAGCCCTGGCCTGTTTGGCTCAACAGTTAGAGCATCGGCCCGTGGACCAGAGAGTCCCGGGATCGGTTCCCGCTATGGGCTCGTATCTTGGTTGCAGTTTGTCCCTGGCCCCCGTTGGGGTCGTGGGTGGCAACCACTCGATGTGTCTCTCTCACATCGATGTTTCTTTCTCTCTCCCTCCCTTCCTCCCTCCCTCCCACTCTATCTGAAGGTAAATGCAAAAAATGTCCTCGGGTGAGGATAAAAAAAAAAAAATTACTGGAATAAATCCTAAATACGGTGCTAGATGACTGTGGTTTCCACATTGACGCCTTGAATTTTTGTAGAAATGTGAATTGGTCATCCCTGCCTCCCCTCCCCGACCATGGAGCCAGGTAGCGCTGTTAAAGGGGAAAATTTCTCTGGCCAGCTCTGCTTTCTCTCTGTTGATTATTGTGAAACATGTGAGCCGTCAAGCCTGCACCAGTGTGTGACAAGTATATAAAGTCAGCAGTTGCAGTTAGTTGAAATTCTGGAAGTAAATAATGCATTGTATAAAGCTATTTATTGGAAGTGATTGGTTTCATTATTTATACTTAAGTCAGGTTTTTTGAGGGTTGATTTACATATAGCAGAATGCACACTTTTTAGATGTGCAGTTCGATGAATTTTGACAAAACTCAAATACTGTAGCATAACCATCACCATGGTCAAAGATGCAGAATATTTCCATCACTGCCATTGACATTTTAAGTGGTTTATAATGGATCCTTAGATGTCGTCTGCTTTGCAATATTATACATAATAAAGTCCTTATTCAATAAGTTTCAAAGTATCCAATTTTTAAATAGAAAAATTGGTTTTTTCCTGCCTCTCCTAGACTAAATATGGAAAGAAAATCTGTTTTAAGAGCCCTCCCAGGAGAGACCCCGGATCTTGGTTCAGGTGGCTTCTCTCTGTGGGATACCGTAGGAAGGGTGGATTTGGGGGAGGAAAGTGAGGAGTTCATTTTGGGGCATGTTGAAATTAAGGGGCCAGTAGGCAGGGCTGAGATCCAAAACATTTAAGGCTCAGTAGAATACAGACAGGGATTAGTCCAGATGGTTGCCGGAGTGTTGGGAACAGACACTGTCAGTCGGCAGCTGGGAGGGCTGACCCTATGCATGCCAACTACAAATCGCCCCTACGTGCAGGACCTTCAGGGACGAAGTTGGAATTGAGGAGCTGGAAGTCAGAAGCAAAGTTGGACTGGACAGAAAGGATTGGGCGGACAGATAGGTCATGCTTACCCAGTGCCAGGGAATTGATTGGATTCGTAGAAAAGGACTGTGGCTCACCTCCGGGAGTGAGATGAGGGAGAGGAGTGAGTGAGAAGGAGTGGATGGAAAGGTGAGAAGAGGACCGAAACAGAACATTCTGGAGATGAAGAAAAGAGACAAGTTTAAGGATGGAATGGTCAACGGGATAGCAAAGGCCCAGCAACTCGGCAGCCCGTGGTGAATACGGTGGGAATGGGTTAATGGGTTTGTATCTGTAACAGGTGCACTCAAATCCTCTAACTGTTCTTGTCCTACAGGTATATCAGGCTTATCGTACACTACTTGGGAAACACAGAAAGATGGTGAATTTCGACCTCCTGGAAACTCTGACCCAAAGACCAGGGCCAGTGGAGAATGAGGGCCCCAGAGGGGTGCTCAGCATCAGCAGGTTGACTCCTGCCATGGCAGCCTGTCAGTCAGGGAGTGGTGCTGGCTCAGGGCACTGGCGGGGAGCCGCCCTCTCCAAGGCTGCAGGAGGTTTCTTAGGCACCTGGCAGTTACCTAGGCATCTTCCCAAACAGTTGCCCCACCCCTTGCCCAAGCCGTTTGAGCACTTACCCTCTGACAGCTCATTTCACTCTCACCCTTGACAGGTAGCTCCTTGGAAAGGGTTGAGACAGATGGAAAGGTTGAGTAGAAAGATGGAAAGTTAGGAATAATGACTGAGTAGTTCCAAAGAAGGGGTACGGTGTCTGCAGGAAACACATCACCACGACATGTCAGAGGTCCCTGTCCATTGCAGGAGAGGTAGACAGCGCATGGAAAGAAGGTGGCACTCACAGTTCTCTTTGGTGTTCCCTTGTCTCGTCACTCAGCTGTGTGGTGATTGACTTGGTGTCCGATGACGATGAGGAACACTTCCCCGAGGAAGATGGAAGTGAGATCTCCAAAACCAGCAGCGAAGGCAAGTACCCCGCCGACTAGAGAAGCAGCAGAGCTCTGCAGCTCATCCACAGGCCTGTCGGGAAAAGGCAGCCAAGTTCTATTCTGCATCTCAGCACGAGCGCCACCACTTCTTCCCTCCTGTGCGGGGTGTGGCTGAGGCCGGATTCCCTGCGCCCCTCGGGAGACTTCCTGCCGCTGCCTTCGACCCTGGGCATTGCTCTCAGTAGACTTCTCACCTGCGTCGAGGGCGCAGAGGGAAGCCAGTCAAGAACAGGGACTGAGAAGAATGAAGGTTGCTCTGCTCCTCCCCGTGGCCCTTCTTTTTTCTCCCTGGGGGAGTGACAGAGCGGAGGAAAGAGGCGTGAGAGAGAGGCTGGGCTGCTCTCTGCCCGATGGAGACCTGGGTGGGCGATGATCGTGGGCCAGCAGGCAGGGACTTCCTGGGGAATCCGTGCTTCCTCCACCTGGCTGTTTGTCTTTGCCTGTCGCTACTCCCTTTACATTTTCTAGAGATTCCTGTTTTTCTCACCGCCTGTTTCCCACAGCAGACCCTTGTGTCTTTGGATTCAGAGGTCCTTTGAACCTTGTGGGAGGCATGGAGCTTTACTCCCAGCTCAGAGGGTTGAAACGTAGGAAGACTAGGAGCTCCTGAAGCATCTGGGGTAGTATTTTATTCCTCTTTGTTTGCTCAGTACAAGGTGTAGGGCATATACATAGGCGCCCAGTTAAAGCACTGGTTACTACTTCGGTAACTACCCCAGAGCTACTGTTGGTTAGCACTTCCTAGCTAACCTGGGATACGACACAGGGAAAGGAGAGGTGGCCGAGAACCCGAGTCTCCTGTTTCACCACCTGTCCACTTGACTTTCTTTTCTCCTTCCTCTTCTCCAGCTGTGAGTACATCTGCCTGAGCAGGACAGGGGTCCAGGCGCTGTCAAGCAAAGGGATCCCCAGAAGCTAGCTGTAGAGTAGAGCATGACAGAGCCAGAAACCAGTCCATCACCATAGACTACCAGCTGCTGACTCCTTGAATTAGAAGACCCATAGTTTTTGAGGGTGAACTTCCAACTCAGGCTGCTCTTACCTCTCTGACCGGTAGACTGGCACTGTGGGCACCCCTTTCCGTCACAGAGGGATGAAGAGGTTTCCAAAGGACTGTCTTTGCCTGTCTCTTCCCTGTTCTCCACAAGCCGTTTCCTTTGCTACTATCACGAATTTTGGTAATTTTACAGAAGAAAAGGCGGGAGGAGCTTTAACACATACTTCCAGCCTCACTTCTAACCTCTGTCAGTGGGCGGGGTCATGTTTTATGGATTGTGAGCAGAGCACCTCCACTGTTCGTTTTTTAAAATTTCAACTGCAGGTGGGAAACCTTTGAGTTTTCTGGGAAGCATGACTTCTTACCATACGAACACCCACTCCTTTCTCTTTCCTTACTGCGTATCTGAAGTTCTTTGATAATTAATTCAAATGGTAGATGAGAGTCTCAATATATGTTCTCCCAAATCCGCAGTTTTCCCATAAAGAGTTTTGGTGCCATGAATATGTTCTCACATCTTGTCTCTGCTCTGGTTTACATCCAGAATCATAGAAATCTAGAAGCTGAGCTCTGAACAGACTCCAGAGAGCGGATGGTATTAGACATGCCACCCCTCATTTTCAGGTGAAAGGGACCTTCAACTGATGGCGGTGACGTTCCGAATGTCCCCAAGGCCTCTCAGTGCTGACATCAGAACTTAACTCCTCACTCTCCCATCAGTGGTTCTGAAAGCTTCGTACTTACGGACTAGTTAGAAAATTAAATTTTGGCGTAGAATTGCCCGTTTTTAATTTGCCTGATGATGGGAATACAGAAATACACTCCAACTGCTATCTACTATTGCCATGATTTCATGAAGTAAAGTGCCGAAAGCTTAGTGAGGACATCATCTCAAAGGACAGTCCTTTAAATGATAGAAATTGAACTTGATGGGGGAAAAATGCACTGTATTGTTCTACTGTCTCTTAGTTTTCTGTGGACCAGTGAAAATATACGTCTGCAGACCTGTGTTTGGGAACCTCTGATCACCTACATCGTGCTATTTAGAGATTGTGATTTGAAAGTTGCCTCTGGACTTGGACTGCTGTTTTATCTGTCACGGCTTTCTGTAAAGAAAAAAGTAATAGAGGGAAAATAATCTGGAATAACTGATTCTTAACTGATTCATAATGTCACAGTTTTCTGCTTGTTTAATTTCTGCTCGGTAATCTAAGGTTGAGGGGCGGGGGCGGGGGCGGGGGTGGGGTGGAGAAAGTCTGCTTATATTGTGAATGTGCCTCTTGAATTTCAGATGAGATTCTGGAAGTGTTATGTGATACTGACAAGTTTACGGGCCAGGAGCTCCCAATAATCATCAGTGATGATGATGATGATGATGATGATGATGATAGTAGTGATGTGGTGGTCCCTGTGATCATAGAAGACGATACAGCTGATGAGGGCCACATTTTCTCAGTCGAAAAGGAGATGGATGTGATCATAGAAGACGATACAGCTGATGAGGGCCACATTTTCTCAGTCGAAAAGGAGATGGAGCAGTTTGCTCTCTCCGAGTATAATTCATCTGATGTTACTGGTGAAAATCTCTCCCAACCACCAGATGTGGCTGAGATTGAAGTAGAGCTTTCAGATATAAATATATCGGATGCAGAGCTTGAACCTGTGGAGGAACAACCAAGGAAAAGAAAATGTAAAACCAAAAATATATGTACAACACCTGGTAAGTTTGTCAAGCCAAGTATCCCTGGTCCCCTGAATGTGCGTAGCCTGCCCAGTGTTCCTTGCCCTTTCCCCTGGATATGTGTCTTGTCAGGTTGGCCTTTCCTGCCTGGCAACCCTGTGCCATTTCAGCGGCTGCCTAGTGGCCAATGAACAGCATATTTCAAGGAATGGGGAGTCTTAGTATTCACCATTCTATCTGCCTGGAGTGCTTTCTCCCTGAGCTTGTTGTCCTGAGGCGTCTCATTTTTCTTAGGACGCAGTCCAGTTGTCACTTCCCATGGGAAGCTCTCAGTCAGAGTGGCTCCTCCCTCCTGGGTTCCCATGGTTATTAGACCCTGCCTCTCCCAAAGCACTCACATCTGAACCCACCCCCCCAGTAGATGGTGAGCCTGCTGACTGGAGGACCGTCCTCATCTTCCGGTCTCTCCCAGGGTCTAGCCTGGTAGTTGGCACGTAACAGATGCCTCATAAAGACCTTAAACGAGTGGATGACACTCCTGATACATAAGTCTCCGGCTACAGCCACGGGCAGCATGGGTGCTGGACCATGGTGGGGAGATTCAGCTTTCATACACAGTGGCGGTGCTTCCTAGGACAGTCACCGTCCTCAGCAAGTCAGAGGTGCTGCCGCTGCTTGTACTGCTCGCACCTCAGGTGCCCTCACAGCCCAACATGGGCACATGCTCCTGTGACCTTGTTACAAGTCTCAGTGCCTGTGACAGTCCTACCAGCTTCCTCTGCGGGCAGCTCCAAGTCACATCTGTAGAATATTTCATGCTGACTGACGGAGCAGTATGCAGGCTTCAGACAGACAGTTGTCACTTGGAGATGTTGCTCTGGGCTTGGCTGTGGGGGCTCCTCCTGGGCTTCTGTCAGTTGCTTGATGGTACCAATTTTCAAGGCACAAACGTACTGTTATCTTTTCAGCTGTTAAAGGACGAAAGCAGCTTCAGTCTTCAAAGAAGAAGCCCAGAGCAGTGTGTGCTAAGAAGCTTGAGACTAAGTACGTACTGCTCCTGTTCAACCAACCAGGGGTTGACTGAATGATTGTCAGATGTTAGGCAGCCCACTGGGCACATGTGGGGGGACTCAAGGGGGCGAAGGCGTCTGGTGGGGTAGGGGGACAAAGTTTCCATCCCTGAATTGGGAAGGCATAGCAGGAGGCGGAGGCTGTGGCCGCAGAGCTGGGCACCTGCTCTGCAAAGACCCCTGCAGTTTCCTGGGCAACTGGAGCTCTTGCCCCTGCAACAGCTCTGGCCTCTGAGGTTTCCTCTGCTCTTTAGCTCAGAAGGATGGTGTGTAACCAAACAGTACACTTTTTCTAGCCTCATGGCCACCAGTTTGCTCTAAACCAAAACACACGGTGGAAGTGATGAGAAAGCAGAGTTGACACGATGTTCCAGTCCCCTGGGGTTGGAGGGGGGACGGTCAGGACTGTGTTCCAGGTTTTTAATGAAATTGGCTACTTTCACTACATATACATATACATATACATATACATATACATATACATATACATATTCTTGCAAAATTTTCAGGCTTTATTAAACATTCGGGTAAAATAGATTACTTATAGTTCCTGTTTTTTATTGTGCTATGTATAATTGATACTGAAAACAACAGGCCATTTAGACCAAAGGCATGCTAATACTTAGAGGAAGCAAAGAATGAATACAGTTGCTCATTTAGATTCCGGGAACTTCTCACTTTTTACCTTAATAATCTGATGCAATAAGTATAATTTTCTTTTCTTGTTTCTACCTGCCTCTGAATGATCTCACAAGAGAAGGCATACATTTGAAGGACTGTATGCTTATTTTGTTTGTTTGTTTGTTTTTATCCTCACCCGAGGACATTTTTCCATTTTTTGTTCAGAGTAGGAGGGAGAGAGAGGAAGAGAGAGAGAGAGAGAGAAACATTGATGTGAAAGGGACACATCGAGTGACTGCCACCCGCACAACCCAACCAGGGCCGGGGACAAACTGCAACCGAGGTACATGCCCTTAGTGGGAACCAAACCCGGGTCTCTCTGGACCGCAGGCCGACACTCTAACTGCTGGGCCAAACCGGCCAAAGCTGTATGCTTATTTTTTAACATGTGTTCTGGGCCAATAAGTGCATCCTAAGGGGAGAGGGGGAAGGATGTGCCAGGCATTGGGCAACACAGCAGAGAGGCTGTTTCTGCGCTTCTCAGCGGATGAGGCAGCCGATGCCGTTCGGCTTGTTCTCTATGAGATGCCCCCCTTCCAGCCCAGCTCCTTCTCTGGATTCCTAGATGCACATTGAAGCTGCTCTGCTATAGGAATGGGTGTTTTGGGTCGCTCTCAGGTTGCGTGGCTGAGGAGTGGGACAGAAGAAAGAAGCTGCCCCTTTGTCATTGTCCTCTGCTTCACGCAAAGGAGGCTAGCCTGTTTGGACTGTGCACTGTTGCCTGGTACTTCCTGCTTCAGTCTGTAGGCTTCCTGTTGTGCTTAGCACTGTTCCTGTGGAGGCTGCTTGCTGGTCGTGGTGTCTAATGTGCCCATTTGGGGTCTCGTTGACTCTTCCTGCAGTCAGTGGCACAGGCGTTGGGGGGAAGGTGTGCTCAGCCATGGGGCCTGCTTGTCGTGAGTGCCAACACATGCAAGGGCCACATTCTCTGCTGAGGTCTGCAGATGGTTTGGGTCTTCATCTGCCACCTTTTCGGATGCAAATTTGCTTTTAGGACTAAGTAATTCAAGGCGGAAATATTAGTCATGTCAGGTTTTGGGATGAAGAACTTTACTTTAGCTGCGTTTGCCTAGTCTGGTACTTCTCCCGCCTCTCCTTACGCCAGACACCTCCCATAGGGTTAATTTTGTGACTTCAGGGTTAATGAGTGTCCTGTTAAGACAGAAACTCGCTTCCTTGTGTTTGCTCCTGTTTTATCTTTCCAGCTTTGTGGGCTCATCTCTTTGGACTTGTGGATTGTTCTAGCCAAGATAAAAATGCTTTCATTTCAATAAATAGTTATGAGAAGTGCGAATCCTTTGTGTGTTCAACACTATTCTTTGTGCCTTTGAATTAGGCCTTGAAAGATGGGGCAACAAGAGTGGTCATGAGATTTGAGTCAGAAGATTCACTATGTCTGTGAACTTGGGGTATGTCACAACCTTTGAGCTTCAGTTTCCTTATCTGCAAAGGGCAGATCACAAGACTGATTGTAGTTTCTGTGGAGGCGGGTTGTGAGGATTGGCTATGATAACGCAGAAGGAAGTTCTTGGCAATTAAGAAGCGCTACACAGAAGGTTGCTCTCAGTGGAAATGTGGCCATTCTCGGCCATGGGCTGTGGGAAAGCACAGTTCCTATCCAGGGAATGTTGAAGTTGCCCACTTTGGCCTGAGAGGAAATGACAGTTAGAAATAGAAGTCAGGAGCCCTGGCTGCTGTGGCTTAGTTGGTTGGGCATTGTCCTTTGCACTGAGAGGTTGCTTGTTTGATTCCTGGTCAGGGCACATGCCCAGGTTTCAGGTATGATCCCTTCTTGGGGGGGAGGGTGCAGGAGGCAGCCTATAGATGATTCTCTCTCTCTATCTTACCCTCCCTCCCTCTGTCTCCTTCTCCTTCTCCTCCTCCTCCTCCTCCTTTCTTCTCTCTCAAATCAGTTTTAAAAATCTTAAAAACAAAAAAGAGCTTGGCTGGTGTGGCTCACCCATGCACCAAGAGGTCACCAGTTGGATTCCTAGTCAGGGCACATGCCAAGGTGGGAGGCATGCAGGAGGCGGTCAGTTGATGTTCTCTCTCATTGATGTTTCTATCTCTCTCTCCCTCTCCCTTCTTCTCTCTCTTAAGTCAATAAAGGAAATTTTTTAAAAAAATGTGAAGTAGTAGAGAGAGCCCAGACTCCCAACTCAACCACTTAAAAAAAAAGAAGAAGAAATAGAAATCAGGACTAGCTTGACCTGAGCCTTCAATGCCAGGCCAAGAAGTCAGTGGGACATAATTGGAACTTGGCCTAGGAAAATTAATCTGGAGGTATGTTTGTGAGTTACATTAGAATAAAAAGAGCCTGGAGGGACCAGCGAGTTTTCCACATCTCTCTTGACCTGTATGTATGCATTTCTTCTATTTATTTGTTCAGCGATACAGGACTCAGTTGATTTTCTTTTGCAGACACACTGATTGCAATATACCTGGATGTTTCTTTCGTGACATTGAAAAGCAAAAGCAGTATTCTGGAAGGAACTTCAAAAGAAACAAGGATGAACTGGTTCAGAGACTGTATACCCTGATTAATGAAACTATCTTTGGTAACAAGGTAGTGTCAATGAAGAAGCACTTACTGAGTACCTGTTATATGCCCAGCACTCTTGGGTGTTGTGAGGTGTGAAGATGTGCTCGCAGTGTATTTCCTGTCCTTGAGACGTGTCAGTTTAAATGGGGAGATGAGACATGCTTATGTGAAAGAAGTAGAAAATGTGTGTGGATTATAATATACGGTACAACCGGTACTACCACGGGAGATCAGCAGAGGGGGAGATCATTGAGACCCGAGTAGTCAGGAAATAGGATTGCCTGCAGGAAGTGAGACTTTTTCTGGTTCTTGAAGGATGATAAGCGGAGGATTAAAAAACAATGATGGGAGAGAGGGCATGTGTTGAGGCTTGACTATCTGAAAGAGGGTTCACGGTGAAGAATAATGTGACCTTGGGCAAGTTACTTGAGCCCCCTTTGCCTCCTCAGTTTCCTCATCTGTAAAATGGGGACAGTGTAGGACTGTGCCTCCTACTTCATGGAATTTTGTTTGGCCTAGGTAAGTTAATATACCTGAAGTGCCTAGAACAGGACTTAGGGCATAATCAATAATACATGTGGGCTATTTTTTCTTTTTGATGGCGTAGAACTAGGAACTCAGATTGGAGGAGAGTAAATTGAAATCAGTACGCAGCACTGTGTAGGGATGTGATATGAAGTGGCCGCTGAGAGAAAGGAATCTGTCAGGAGTGGGTGTGGACTAAGACTGGAGAGAACCTGGAGGCAGAGAGACAGACCCATTGCTCCTTAGGTTCTTCAGACTTGATTGTCTCTGTAGGGAAAGTTCTATCATTCTAAAGGTTCCCCATTCTTTGGTGCCTTTCCTGATGTCACATCCAATGACTGATTAGTGGAACCTTAAGTGAGTTGCATTTTCAGTTGCCCCTCGCCCCTCTCACACACAATTCATACCTACCCTGGCTGCCCCTGACCCGGTCTCCATGCGAGGCCGCGCAAAGTCCGCATCCCCAGGCTCTCAGCGGTCTCCCTCAGTGCCAGTGGCCTGCCCACTGCCTTTGCCTAAGCTTCCACTTGCCTTCCACGCCCCCTAGGGTGTCGAGATTTGCAAAAACTCTTGAGCTAACATCTTCTGGTCTGCTTAGAGCTGCCTTCTGAGTCACTGTCCGCTTGTCCTCAGCTGCCCGAGAGACTGGACATCCGCTGGAATAAAAAGATGCTGAGAACCGCTGGCCTGTGCAGCTCCGGCAGACATCATTACCCGAAAGAGCGCTACACTAGGATTGAGATTTCCATAAAGGTCTGCGACTCTGCAGGTGACGCACGGCAGGGACGTGGCCACTCTCCCACCGGGCTCTCTGCCCCAGCGCCTGTTAAGTTTCTCCGGGGATCTGGTGTTCTCTGCCAGCCTGTGTCACAGCCCTACCTGTCATTCCTGGGGGACAGGCCTACTGTGTGTTGCTTAGAGGACATTATTATTGGATGTCTCCCTGTCCCTGAGAGTCCCAGTTGTCTATCTTTCCAGTAGGCCTAACTTTCCCTCTGCAGCCTCCTCATTCTTCTGGGAACAGAGGCTCAAGCTCCCCTGTATCTAGCCGGTTACCAAATCTTCACGACTGTCCTATCATTCCTTCTCTGTCTTTGCCCCTGCCCAGGTGTGGGCTCTCGCCACCTCACTCTTCTCCCTGCTGTGTTCAGTCCCCTGCACACCACGGTGTTGCTTTCCTGCTAAGAAACCCGGGGCTTGCCGGCCTGGAGCCCGACTTTCAAGGCGCATAGTCTGCCCCTCGCCTGTCGGCCTCTGGGCTCCCTGCTGCACCACTAGCCTGTGCTCTGGTGCGGCTGGCTCCCCACCGGCGCTCAGAGTGGACCACGTGCTTTCCTGGCCTCGGCCTTTGCTCACATTTTTCACACCTACAATGACTTTTTTCTAATTTTGAAAATCCAGTCCATTGGTAAGGGCCCAGCTCAGATTCCAGTTTCTCCATGGTGCTTCTCCTGACCAAATCCCACGGCCCTGCTGATTGCTCCCTACCCTGTCCACTCATGCTCCTAGGGGGCGGAAACCAGGGCTGGGCTTGCTCGAGTTCGGGCCGTGGCCCACATAAAGGTGAGCAGGTCAGAGCTGCTCTGAAAAGACGCGCGCGCTCAAGGCTCTCTGCCGCTTACCGTGTCGGACTGAAGTGGGTAGAAATTGCACTTTCAGAATCCTGGGAGGATAACACTCATGCCCGCGGGCATATGTTCATACTGTAAGGTGGCTTTCTGTGTGGTGGGGTGGAGAGTCCAGGGCTGGTTGGGTAGTGACCAGAAGGTCGTCAGTTTAAGTGCTCATATTTTCTTTTTATTCTTCTTCCAAGACCGAATCCGGGATACTTTGGTCCATGAAGTATGCCACGCGGCCTCTTGGCTGCTGGATGGCATTCGTGATTCTCATGGCGATGCATGGAAATACTATGCCAGATTGTGTAACATGGTGCACCCTGAGCTGCCCTTGGTCACCCGTTGCCATAACTACAAGATCAACTACAAGATTTATTATGAGTGTTCTCGGTGCAAAACCAGGTAAGTCCCTTCTTCTCAGACTTTCTCCAGTTATGTTTTTTTAAAAAAATCTTTTCCTTTATTGATTTTAAAGAGAGAAAAAGGGAGAGGGAGAGGGAGAGAGAGACAGAAACATCGATGAGAGAGAACATCGATCGGCCACCTCCTGCATGCCCCCCACTGGGGATCGGGCCCACAACCTGGGCATGTGTCCTGACCGGGAATCGAACTGGCAACCTCTTGGTGCACTCAACCACTGAGCCACACCAGCCAGACTCCAGTTATGTTTTTACTATGGCCTCCAAGTGGTTCTTTAGTGATGACATTAGTACGTTCATGGTTATCTAACTTGAGGAGTAAAACCTTTCGACTCCTTTCCATTTCCTCTTTTCTCCAATCTCTCCTACCTTGAGCCAGCCTGCCCACTGCGCTGCTTGGTACCCCCAGAAAATCTAGTTTGAGGCCCAAGGCCCACAGTTCAGAGAAGAGGCCAAGTTACAGTGATAAACCCTGTACTATGTGGTGTCTTTCCTCTTTAGGATTGGGCGCTACACCAGATCCTTGGATGTCCAGCGCTATGTGTGTGCCGAATGCAAGGGGCGGTTGGTGGTGCTGCCATTAACTCGGAAAGATGGCACCCCCATAAAGCCCCATGTGAGACCATTTGCCAAGTATGTGCAGCAGCATTACAGACCGGTTAGACAGCAGACCGCAGGCATCGACCATGGGGATGTGATGAGAACCCTCAGCAAGGATTATTTTATCTGTAAACAAAAGCAAAACCAAAACCAAAACCAAGACCAAAATCAAAATAGTGGAGGTAACTGAGAGGCTATCTGACTGAGCTGAGCCCTCTACTGGCAAAAAAGATTGCAGACAAATACCTTTGTTTCTCTGAAGTTATAAATGTTAGACTTTAAATCGTTTTTATAAAGCTTTATATTGTTACTGTTCTTTAACCAAGGCTTCTGTTGCCCAGCATGTTGTGCCCTTGACTGTACTCGGAGGCCCTTTGGACCCACCTCGTGTCTTATACCCCAGAGTTGTAACGTGTAGAATGAAACGCAAAAGCCAAATACGTTCTCGAGAGTGGTGGTTTTAAAGGCAGCTTTTCCAAACGATGGCTGCTGGCAGATGTAACCTGTTCTACCTGCCTAGAAATAGAAGACATGTTTTATGAGTTTAATTTCTCTTGCCATTTGAACCAATGTAATTGTTCATGACATTAAAAAAGTTAATAAAATGTTTTTTGCAATTCACTTGTTAGCAAAGTCTGTTCATTGCCAACCTGTGCCGAGAATAAAACAAGCCTTCGAGTCTCTTTTAAATTATTATTCTGAGAGCGAGAGAGAGACAGAGAAAACATCGATGTGAGAGCAAAACATCGATTGGCCGCCTCCTGCATGTGCCCTGACGGGGTATCAACCGTCCACCTTTTGGTGCACAGGATGCCACCCAGCAAACTGACCCACGCCAGCCAGGGCAAGCCCTTGGGTCTTTTGTCCAGGCCCCTGGACACCCGAAGCTCCTGGATGTGCCAGGAAGGGCGTTCTCCATCTGGGTTTCTCTCTGGCTCTTGTGACTGCTCCCAGTCTGGGCTGTGGATGGAATCGGCGTATTTGTCCCCGAGTACGCACAACCACCACATCTTGGTCCTCATTATCTTGTTTATTGAAAAGTTTGAAGCAGAATTTGACATAAATTTGAGCAAATACGGAGGTGTTGGGGACCGTAGGTAGTCACTGCGGGCTGGAGGCCTGGGCTAAGACCCCACAGGGGCAGCTTACACCGTGCTGTTTGCCTCCAGCTCTGCGTATAGGGAAGGCCAAGGTCTAGTTAATGAAGAGAGTGGTAGGGCTCCGGCAGCCAAGAGAAGAAGGGCCTGAGGGCAGCCAACTCTGAATTGGCAGGAGGGGGCTTGGCAACTAAGGAGCAGCAATGGCGAAGTCCCCAGAGCCAGGAGGGTGGCTCCTTGGGAGACATGGCGGTGCTGGGGCCGCCAAGAAATCCCAGGAGTGTGCGTCTGGGGAGCCAGGCCCACTCCCAGGGGGCAGGGAGGGAGGGAGGAGCCTGGGATGTGGGGGTGGCCCTCAGCTCAGCCTCACAAGCCTGAGTAGGAGGCCTCTGTAGTCTCAGACCAGGACGAGTCCCGGCGGGACGACGGCAGCGGCCGCTGCTGCCCACTCCGGCCAGGGCAGCCCAGGCGCAGGAGCAGGGTCCACATGCGCTCTCGGAACTTGACCCCCACGAAGGCGTAGAGCAGCGGGTTGAGGCAGCAGTGCATATAGCCCAGGCCTGAGGTCACGGACCTGGCCACGTCCACATGGCCTTCTCGGCTGCAGTTGCGGGCCAAGGCCTCCATGTCCATGAGGATGTCCACCATCATCACCAGGTGATATGGGGTCCAGCAGAGGGCGAAGGCCACCACTACCACCACCACCAGCCGCATGGCTCGCAGCCGCCGCTGGCCCCTGGAGACCAGCAGCACAGCCAGGATGCGGGCATAGCAGTAGGCCATGACCATCAGGGGCAGCAGGAAACCAGCCACCAGCTGCAGGAGACGCACAGCTGTGCGGCCCACCTGTGGGAAGTCGTGCTGGCAGTGAGTGGCATTGAGGCGTGCGTCACGGTGGGCCGACAGGAAAATGAAGTCAGGGAGGGCAAAGAGTAGACAGAGCCCCCAGACAACGACACAAGTGAGGGCCACGCGGGTCGGGGGCCCGCGACGGTAGAGCTGGGTGGCATGTACGATGCTCAGGTACCGGTCAAAGCTGATGCAGGCCAGCAGGAGGACCCCTGCGTAGAAGTTGATGCTGAAGAGGGCACCTGCCACTTTGCAGAGCCCGGAGCCGAAAACCCACTGGACTGCAGCATCCACTGCCCAGAGCGGGAGGGTGAGCACCAGCAGGGTGTCCGCCACGGCCAGGTGGAGCAGGAAGGTGTCGGTGCTGCTCAGGGCTGCCCGCTGGCTGAGCAGCACGGCCGCCACGGCGCCGTTGCCCAGCAACCCCAGCACAAAGAGGACGCCGTAGAGGGCTGGCAGAAAGGCCCGGTCAAAGTTCAGGCTGATGTCTTGTGGGCAGGGTGGGGCGTCACAGCAGAAATCAGTCCCGTTTTCTCCTCCGTAGTCAAAGGAAGAGTTATAGTTGTCCAGGAAAATAGTCTCCGAGCCTAGGAGCTCGAGGGGTTCACGGATCTGTGGAGAGGGGAGAGAAGGAAGGAAGCAGGAACAGACCCTGTGAACAGACTCCTTGGGGGATTTAGCCCCAGCAGCTCCACTGTAAGGCAGACCTTGAGGCCTGGGCCACACCCAGCGATCGTCCCCACCTATCTTCCAAGGTCACGCCTCCTGCCCTGCCCCTGTGCAGCCTTGGGCTGGGATGTAACTTTCCTTCTCAAAGGTCAGTTCTTACCCACCTTTTGGGGCCATCCCTTTAGCCCAGGACTGTGGGCTGGGGGAAGCTGGCCTCTGTGCCAAGAGCCCCCCCCACCCCGCGCCCCTCTCCTCTCTCTCCTCTCCCTCCCTCCAAGGCTTGAGGTTCTGTGTCCCGGCCACACCTAATTCTACCACCTTCCTCCCCACACACCACCCTACCGTCCCCTCTCCCAGTCCCCGGCTCGCCTTTTCACTCCTCAGCCCTTGTCTGGGAACCCCAAACTTCCTGCTCCCCACAGCGCCCCTCTACAAATCACTGTGCCCCCTAGGCATGTTTTTTTGCCATTCTTTCCCTCCCTTACACCAAGGACTGCCACCCACTGAGGGCTCCTCCACTGAGCTGTAGCAGAAATAGTCCTTCCCCGCTTCTCACACAAACCACACGGAGCTGCAGGCATCCCCAGGGCCAGTTCAGCCCAGCATAGACCAGTCAGAGTTCCAAGTCAGAGCTGAAGGGGGCTTGCAGGCTGTCAGGGCTGAGCCTCTACCTCCTGCGTTTTGCAGATGAGGTACCAGCCAGAGAGGGGAAGAGAGTCACCACTGGTCATTGGCACAAGTCAGTGGCCAAGGTGGGTTCTCAATCCCCCGTCCAGTGTCCCTTCTCCACAACCCCTGCATTTTCTACCTACTCACCCACCCCTCTGGAGGTGCTGGCTCGGGGGCCAGCCCTGGTCCCCTAGGGTCCTGGGCTCTTCACGTGGAGAGCAGTCTGGCCTGGCTGGGCAGCAGCACTCACCTCCTGGAGCATGGCTGGGTTGGTGCTCAGGCTGCCTGGCGCGTGCTGCCTGCCTGGCTGCCTTGGTGCTTGTGGTTGGGAGCCTGAACTACACAGAGGAAGTGAGGGTTTCATGCGGTTCTTGACGGCCGCCTCTTCCATGGGGTTATCTCCACCCGACCTCCCTGGAGCCAGCGCCATTCCCCTGGCCTGGGAGCTTCGGTGGGGGGCTGACCACCAGCCTGGGGCCGGAAAGGCCGAAGCCTAGGGAAGGGCAAGGGCAGGCCCCCCGACGGGAGAGGTGTGCAGGAGAAGCAGGGCAGCCGGCAAGTGGCGGCAGGCAGGGGCAAGAACTGCTTCTCTTGCGCTGGTGTAGCCAAGGCTCAAATGAACAACTCGTGCTCTGTCCTGGCTGCAGTCAGTGTCTGCCCGATTGTAGACTGTGGGTTGTAGACCGGTTGCGGACTGCATCGCTAAATGTGCTCAATCTGTAAAAGGAGATGAACCCTCTTTAAAAATCTAAAGGTTTCAAAGAAATCGATTCCACCAAACCTAGTCCTTACTGAGGCCAGGAAAGGGAATCACTAGTAATGAAGTTGCCATGTGGCAGATGCTGCTGTAGGTGCTTTCTCTGTCGCCTCCTCGCTCCAACCGCACAGCTCCCTCAGCAGCTGGGGTTATCCTGTGACTAACCCAGAAAGGAGAAAAGTCTTCAGCCAACACAGCAAGTCAGGGTGGGTGCTAAGACTGGACCCAGGACTATCTGACTCCTTTTACCACTCACCACACCACCTTCAGTTTTTTAAAATTGAGAAACTATGACATATTCATGCCGTTAATTCATCTTCATCCTCACGTGGCTGCACCCCGAAAGCCAGCGAGCACACGGTGGAAGAGGCGAGTGACAGAATAGTGTGTATAGTTGGCCACCACTTACACAAATTCTGAAAACCACACACACAAAACCAACACCGTATTGTTTTGAGTACAGCTATTTGCTCTAGAAGTTCCAAAGAGCGACCGGAGATACCAGCAGTTCCTGAGAGCAGTTTCTCCTGGGAGAAGAAGGGGCACAGGGTTGGAGCAGGGTGCCGGGGGACCTCCCGCTTTTAAGGAAAAGCTGTAACCACCGTTCATTTGTGGAGCCCCTCGGTCCCTTTCTGGCTGCGCACTGCGGGGAGTTTCGCTCCCTACCTTGCCCTCAGCTTTCCCAGGTCCCCCCCTCCGGTCCCCTCCCTATCAGCCTCAGAATCAGCAGGGAAAGGTGGCCCCTAACTTCCCTTCCCCAAGCAGTTTCTTCCCACAGATGAAAAGGAGACAGAGGCAAGGCTGGCCCATGGTTTTGGGGTCCAGTTTTCAGCCACAGCGCTTTGCAAGAGCCTCTGGTCTGGGGCCCCGGATTCAGTTCCCTTATTGACAAGATGCGCACTTGCGAAGCCCCAAGGCCCTTCCCCGCCTTCTGCGGGCAGAAGACCTGGCTATCCCTGCTCCGAGCAGCTTGTCACCTGCAGGGACTAGGCCAGAAGGAACTGGGGGCCTGGAGGAGGCCAAGAGCCCTGTGAGTGGAGGGCACTGGGAGGGCTCCAGAAGCCATGGAAGTTAGGATGGCCTTGGCCAGTTTCTGCCTGTCAGGTGAAGAAGAGATATGAGAGCCAGGACCACAGTTTCCTGATGCTGGTGCACAAAGTTTCCGTTCACTGGGCTTCTACAATGAGAGAAACGAGTACAACAGAACGCTCTGCTTGTTCAACGGAAAGGAAGGTCTATCCTGCGAGTCTGTCCTTCAGCACCTTTTTGGTATTAAAAGGCTTTTTTCTTCATGAGGTGGTGGAAGTAGCTGATGGTTTGGGAAGTAAGGCCCGTTGGCAAAGTTGACGACCCACTGTGGTCTACGTGGGATTTCAAAGTCCAGGGACCCCTGGTCTTCTTCCCGTGCTCCAATCTCCTCATTTGTCACATGGGGACAGTGATCCCCACCTTCCCGGGCCACTGGGAAGAGCTTTCCTTTCTGAGCTTCAGGGCCACGTCGTCAGAGGCCAGCCTAGGGAGCGAGGTGGACCGCTGTCCCTGCTTCTGTGCAGTGGGAAGACCATCGAACTTGTGTGGCTCCAACCCCGACTCCACCCTGTTCGGGCTGTGTGACCTTGGACACAGGACTTAACTCCTCAGCAGGATTGAGCTGAGATAAACGGAGGGAACCAGGGCTCTAAGGCCCCTGGCACCGGGCCCAGTGCTTTGCAGACGCCCTGTTGACAATGCTGAGTGGGAGGGCGGGTGGTTACAGACCCCGCCTGACTGGGAGCCTTCACGCTGGGGGAGCCCTGGGAGGGCGTGTGCTACCCCGTGGGGTGGGCAGTTTCCTCACCCGAAAGAAAGGGATGAAGATACGACCTGTGCGATTGGCTTGCTCTGTGGACTACAAGTGACATGTGTGCAAAGTGTCTGGCACGGGGCGGTTTCCTCCCCTCCAAGGCCTCAAACGGCAGGTGTGTGGCCACCTTCTGCCCCTCCCCTTAGGTGGCCCTCTAATTTGGTCCTCTCTTGTCCCGAGCAGCCCCAGGCTGAGTCGAAGGCCGGCCCAGCCCCTGGGGAGACACCCCTGACGAACCCTGGGGTGCAGCCTGCTTCTGCTGTCCCCAGCCCAGCGGGAAGCCTGAGGAGGAAGTTAGTCAGTGAGGCTGCTCCAGGCCCCGCCTGTGGTCAAGGTGTGAACTGCGCACCTGTGTCTTCTCCGCCACCCCTCCCCCTGTTGTTTGCTTTCTTTCACACCTTTGGGCTGTGGTTTGGGGAGATGGGAGGCTCAGAGGTCTGAGCCCTGGGCCCACTCCCTCACCGGAAGGAGGGCCTCCACAGCTGTCTATCAGAACAGACAGGGAAGGGGCCATTTCCTCCCCCTCCCTCTCAGTGTCTGCCTCGCCACCCCTCTCTCTGTCTCTCTCTCTCTCAGGCCCTTGGCGTACCTCTGGGAACCTGCTCCCAAAGTCCCTGAGCTCAGCCACCAGCCCTGGCTGTCAGGGGAGCAGGCTCAGCCAGGCCCAAGCTCCTGGGGCTCAGGCGGCGGCCTAGGCTGAATTGGAGCCTTTCTCTCGTGAAATGAACAGCGTCCTAGCCCCGGAAGGCCCGTGGGTCTCCCCAGTCTCTGCTGGGCCGCTGGGGCTCCTCCTGCCGGCCCTGAATTTCTAAGGGAAGGAGAGCTTAAGTCATCGAAGGCCCGGGGGGCTGGGGACCACCCCTCCTCTGCCCCTCTTCTTGCAGCGCTGAGCCCTACTGGAGACGAGTCCTTTCTAAGTGCTGGGGCCAAGGGGTGGGCCTGGCCAGTCCCCGCCCGTGAGGGTGAGTTCCAAAGCTATGGGGCACTCGTTCTTTTGGGGACCAGGGAAGGAAGATGTTGCTGCCATTTGTCAGGTGGCAAAGGGAGACAAGGCAATTTAGGCTGTGGGACCAGCAGGTGTCTGGGCAAGGAGGTGAGGAACAACTTGTTGGCACAGTGGTGGTCAGTCTTGTTGGAGAAGAAGGTACATGTGAAAGCAGGAGGGTCAAGGGGTTTGGAGAGTAGTTCAAGACCCCAAGCCTGCCACCAAGCACGATAACCTTCCTGTCATTCTGTCTCCAGAAGTGCTGGGAAACTGTGAAAGAAAAAATAACCTCCAGCCCAGCCAGCGTGGCTCAGTTGGTTGAGCATCATCCCATGTTCAATTCCTGGCTGGGGCACCTGCCCAGGTTGCAGGTTCTATCCTCGGTTGGGATGCATGCAGGAGGCAGCTGATCAATGTTTCTGTCTCACATCAAGGTTTCTTTCTCTCTCTCTCTGAAATCAGTAATAAAAATAAAAGCTTCCCTTCAGCAAGCTCTGCCTTTCCTACGCATGATCTCTCTGAAACTCTTCGGCCACCTGGGGAGGCAGAGGTCACTGTACACATTTTGCAGAATGGAGGTAGAGGTTCAGAGTGGTGAAGTGGCTTGTCCCAGGCTAGTCAGCCAGTAGGATTGCTGGCAAAATGCCTATCCAGGCTGCTTTCTAATGTACTACACTGACTATTGGGGTTGGAGATCCCTGCCCCACCCCCTGCAAAAGTACTGCGGCCCAAGGACTGCTTCTTTCAGGAGCCACAAACCAGTACTGACTCACCACAATGCCCCAACCAGGCATCTCATGTGATGGCAGGTGCTTACCCAGGATTATGACATTGGGGAGGCTGGGTAAACCTCATCGCATCCCCGATCTTCTCGCCCCACTTCTCCCCGCTTACCAGGGAGACACAAAGTCAGAATCTCCAGGATGAGGGGCCTGGAGGATCAAGCAAAAGTCTGCCAAGTGCCAGAGCCCTTTAGTAATGCCCCCGGCCCATCACAGGCCGGCTCCTGAAGGGCGGGCTGGGGAACGCGTCCCCTTCTGGGGTGGGCGAGCATCTGTTCCCATCCGGTCCTGTACCCGGGACCCCACCTTGACTCAGGCCTGGTCAGACTCTGCAGAGGGGCAGGTGGCAACTTGCCAATGTGAAGAAATCTGCTCATGGAGGCCTGACCTTGATGGATTCGAGTCCCAGTTGATCTCACAGTTAACAGGTGGAGGCTGTGCCCCTGCACTGCTCAGCTGGGCCACCCCTTGAAATGAAGTCAGCGTCAGGCCCAATGTCCGCTTCTTGCCTTCCCTTGGGTTGCCGCACGGAGTGAAGTGAAACAGGATAATAATAAGAGCTGATGTCTCTTCTTTTTAAAATGTTTTTTCTTTATTGATTTTAGAGAGAGAGGGAGGGAGAGGGAGAGAGAAATAGAAACACTGATGAGCGAGAACATCAATTAGCCGCCTCCTGCATGCCCCCTACTGGAGATCGGGCCCACAACCTGGGCATGTGCCCTGACCGGGAATCCAACCGGCGACCTCCTGGTGCATGGGTCGATGCTCAACCACTGAGCCACACCAGCCGGGCAAGAGCTGCTGTCTATTGATTACTTAACTATGTGCTGGACACTATTCCATGACTTGTTACTATTATCATTCGTTCCTGTTTTGCAGATGACAGAAACACAGAAAGTTTAAGGAACTCACTCAAAACCACACAACCAGCAAGTGGCTGAGACCTTATGTTCTTCCCAGGACACGTCATGCTTGTTGAGGTTAGAGGAACCAGGATGGAGGGTAGTGTTCAGAGAAGACTATTTTGGCCTTATCTGTAATGTTTTACATGGAGACTGTATTT